CCCCCCCCCCCCCCCCCCCCCCCCCCCCCCCCCCCCCCCCCCCCCCCCCCCCCCCGCTTATTCAGCGGCTGGCTGAGTCGTTGCGAAATTTTCGGACCGATTTATAAATGTTAAAACCCCCCCCCTTGAAAAAATCCTGCGTACGCGCCTGGCTGCATGTATGATACTTAAAAAGTTGAAATGTGTTCTGTTGTAACATTTTCCGTAAAATGACTGTAGTATATACGCTGGTGGCGCTATACTCTCAAACAGGAATACGTCACGTGATTAATCACATGTGTCGAACGTTCGTACGCAGATAAACAAATTACGCAACTCGCTGAATTGAAGTTCAAAAGAAGGAAACTTATTGATACAAAATGCCAATTTCTAGCAATGCAAGACTTCTTGGGAAGACTCTGCGGCCCCTGCTGGCAGCAAAGTTTAGTCAGCCAGGTCCTGCATCAGCTTCGTATCACAAAAATGTGAGTATCAATGGTGACTGTCGAAGCAAGATGATGAAGATGTGATGACGTGATCTGTTCTTTCGTTCTTGAGTTGTGATCCGCTGGTGATGTAGCTCTTCTACTGTGTAGTAAGGGAGGATCCGTAGTAAGTGTCATGTGTGGGATGAAATCTGACGGTAGTTTCCGGTCAAATGTAGAGTAGGGTTTTCAGTAGACCGAAAGCTTCAGTCTCTATATCGTCGGTTGTTCCACTGAGACTACGTCTGGCTCCACTAGACCTCCGGATACGATCGCCTATCTATGCCATCGTAGATCTAGATCTATGTTGAAGATATCACGGCTAGATTTTAGCCGCTAGGCCCCTCCCACAAACATGACAAACTTGAGGAGAAATATGCCTAGATACATCATTTATCTTCAATTGCAGTAATTTTCTAGGCAATTGTCAGTCCCTCAAAGTTTCCTTTTTATCCCCCTTCCCCCCACGACATAGAGTAGTGGTAGGGAGGCCAATGCCCAGGCGTAAGGCTTCTACACCTACGATTTGTGCGCTCGTCGCCCACTTCAAAAAATTAGCAAAGGGAAAAAAATGATGTAAAAATAAAAATTGAAGAAAATATGAAAAGAAAATACAATTATACATTTCACAACATACCTATAATCACGGATCTGTAACAGTCTTTCACCATTTGTTGACAATCTTGCAGATTTTGACGTTTTTTAATCCAATAATTGTGGTTGCAGACGACCTTGACGCACTCGCACCACCGACTAAGAAAATCCTAGAGGGCGTAGAGGTTTGCTCACTAAAAACCTTCTCATTGGCAGAAGGTAGACCCTAAAAATATGGGATCCGTTTTGAGTAAAGAACTTTTGATAGAGATCAACATTTCAGATGTTCACAATTGCCACTTCTAACACTAGAAAATATAAAGAAAAAAGATTATATCTTTTTAAATACAGATTTTTACAAACTGAACATTCGAAAGTAGATAGAGTACGATGTTTCTGTCAATCTTGCGTTGGTTTGAGCCCTATAGCTACATCCATCTCAAAATGAGAAGGAAAACAGTGAACAGTGACGTCATTGTTCGCGCCAAAAATAAAGGGTATTGCGACATAATCTGAGCTCCGGTCAGATCTTACGCAAAGCGTAGTCTTATTTATAGACCCTAGTACCTTATTCTCACAGCACTAGATACGAGTGTCGTGCAGTAATGTATGAGAAGTGTTAAAAAAGATATTTCAGTAAAAAAAAAAGTCTACGTGAGCAGTCTATACTCCAATTGAGAATTGAAATGAAAGCCATGATTTGAAGGTGTGTTTTGTATGATACATGGTTAGTGAGTGTGTATGTTACGTATAGCGAAAGGGAGAGAGAGAGAGAGAGAGAGAGTGAGAGAAATATAGTACACGTACGTTGCATACATGGATGTGCGCTATGATTGTGTTCGCTGCAAGATGGATTTTAATTGGACCTCGTAACTTCTCGATCGTTGATAATAAGGAATACTCATGAGGAAATCAAATTATTGGAATACACATCTAAGGTAAATATCAATGAATTATATATATTTCTTTCCTTTTTTGAACCATCGTCTTCGGCTCGTAGTAGTAGAAGATGTAATCGTTCGCACATTGATGGCTGGCTGGACTTCAGCCTGCATGCATCGGGGCTTGCCTGTGTCGGTGGAGGGATCAACTAAGAAGAAGAAGGTGTGTACGTGTGCGACCGATTCAAGGCTAGCCGCTGTTGAGTGATTGCACTTTCGCGCGAAGTTTTAAACTTCATCATGAACTTTGTCCCTCGGGCCTGTCTAATTATGAACGTAACTCTGCGACATGAAATATAATTGTTTCAAGGCTCTTACGTACGGAAAGGCGTAGAAGGAAATGGCTACAAACCAGCTGGATATCTCCTATTTGATGGAACCTATGGAGTCGGCAGATGGGTGGATTTTCTTAGTGAAAGTAAATGCTTCTTTTAATCTTAGTTTTAGTATAAACAAATTAGTAATTAAAAAGTTAGATTTGGGCATTGGCCTCCCTAGTAGTGGCTCTGGTCTGCGGCCGATCGGCGGGAACTGCCGATTCTATTTTTATTGGAATACTCACAGAATACTTTAATACCCTCAATAAAGAGTCCATATACTTACTTATTAAATAGAAGTCACAAATAACCTAACTGACCCACAGCATGGTCAGCATTGACCACGTTTCGAAATGCTTCGAGTTCCCCGGTTTGCGGGCACGCATTACCGGTTTGCGGCACGCGTACGTCACAAAGCTTTATGCGCTACGTCACGATGAAAGCATGTACCAAATTACTACGGGTAACCCAAATTCTCATGTTTATCTGTTGCTACGGTAAATTTGTCAAGTTTTAAACAATTTCACCTTTTCCTCGAATGGATCATCCCATCCGGGGGTAAGTACTACTAGAAACTATCGGTCATAGCGGGTACACACATCAGCACACATACCATCATACACGATCCCGCATGTTATGTGTGTATTAACACCCCCCGCCGCAAACCAGAAAAAACACGTAATTACGTGCCGGTTTGCGGCCACCCCATGCAACTGGCCATGCGGTGGCACAATCAAAATATCTGCGATAGGAGACAGACCACAGCCATCATACTTCCACAAAAACATCAAATTTCACCTCCAATCGGACAAATATCGGACAAATAGAGCTACAATATTGATCTAGTCATGCCTCGATTTCTTAACTTAAAAGTTAGCACCTGCTGGAATTTTCATCGGCGACTGGTGCCGTAGATTTCCGACATCGCTGACGGATACTCCGTACCGACAGGAGCACCTACTACGGACGTTTTCGGCAAAGCAGAACTTACCGTGGAATCCACGGTAGGTTTCAATGATTATTATCGAGTCATATTCATTTTATTTTTATAACAAATACCCCTGGCCGCAAACCGGGCGATGCCGCAAACCGGAGACTCTACTCTAGAAAAAAATAAAAAATAAAAGGACTTACCGAGCTTTTGGCTGCTTCTCGACCAACGTCAAGCATTCTGACCGATAGAAATCAAAATGGCGGCTAATGAATATTCAATGACCTCGCCTCGGCTAGCTACTCCGCGCGTCACGTCGATGATAGCGCGCGCACGTGAAGCAGACAACACGAGAACTCAAACGTGAGTAGCAGCGTGATCTTTGAGGGTGATGTACATGTATGTGCACGTACGCGCACGTCTATGAATGAGGTCAATGGGGTGGAGACTAAAAAACTTTGTCATGAATATTCATTACTTTGATTCAAGATGGCTGACGTCTGAAGACAGTCCAGTGGAAGAGATAATAACACTTTTTTGAAGAAGATTTCATATGCAGAGGTCCAAGGTACATATTTTCTTAATGTTTATCATGTGTGGTTTACTTCAAAATGGCAATCGTATATGTTAGTGCAGGGCAGTATCGTCCCGTAGTATCGTGAATGCCTTTAAAGCCAGACTGGATCGAGTATGGAAGGACAAGCGTTTCTGCTACCCATATGAGTAGAATACCCGACGCAGAACTGAGCCAGACACTTACCAAGAAGACACCCAACTACGAGAAGGAAGAAAATGAAATTGAACTGGAAGCCCGACTGCTGAGAACACAGCATTCTTCCAGAATCTCGGGTAAAAGGGTAGACTCAGGGAATAATTTTCCTCAAATATTTTGATTAGCAATTTCAGCTGATGGATAAATATTTCAAATGAAATTCTGTACATTTCTATTAGGCTTGAGTCGGTACGGTCGATCACACCGGGACCCGACCGTTGCCGTCGGGTCCCGGTTTCGTTTTTTGAGAACCGGCGCTCCGAAAAAAATAATGAAATATGTAAGAAATTGCAGTTTTGCACACCACTAAAATCAATCCACCCTAAAACTTAAGTATTTAATTGTTACCAATCGTATTCTAGCTCATCCAGAATCAATCCGAACTGCTGATATAAATATGGGTTGCAAAGCAGTTCGCCCCATGGGTTTGTTGTTGCCAGCTGCTAGCTAGCTACTGTACTGGCCGGGTCTCTCGGCAGTATTAATAAATCAGGTTGAAAGAAACATTAATGTTTGAATAATAAAACGTCTTTCTAAAAAGTACTTCTTTACAACATACCGATCGAATAATTTTTAAAAGACAAAATATATATTTTTTCTTTGATTTTGAACACCGCATGCTTCTTTTAAAAGCTGAAAATGACTTGGTAATCACAAGAAGTTTCGATACGGATAGCTGTTGCAATGCAAGTTCAGACTAGTCTCGGAAAATGCGCAGTGCTCCTTGTTAGCTATAATGCGTGCCAGAACGAACCCAAACAAAGACGTGATCGTAACGAGAAAAAAATCATTAAAAACTACGAGAGCACAATTGGAAAGACAACTACTCAAAATTATCGTAAGCAGATACATAACTTGGAGGAAGAATACGATAGTTGTCCAAGAAAAGCCACATAAATAGTGATATTTAATGAGTTACTATAGGTACAATCATTATCGGAAGGGCCTGCATGCTGCAATATATCTAAACGTGTTTAAATTGAACACGAGGCAAATACCGCCCTCTACGGTAAAAAGCAGTATAACAAAGGATTCGAGTATTTGCAGCTAGCAGGCCCCTTGCGATAAAAATGTACCCAGTAACTCCTCGATTATCACAATTTCTGTGGCATTTCTTGGGCGATTATTGAATTCTTTGTCCAAGTTAAGTATCTGATTATGGTAATTTTGAGCAGTATATCTTTCCAATTGTGCTCTCGTAGTTTTTAATGATTTTTTTCTCGTTACGATTACGTCTTTGTTTGGGTTCGTTCTGGCACGCATTACAGATAACGAGGAGCACTGCGCATTTTTCCGAGACTAGTCTGAACTTGCCTTGCAACAGCTATTCGTATCGAAACTTCTTGTGATTACCAAGTAATTTTCAGCTTTTAAAAAAAAGCATGCGATGTTTAAAATAAGAGATAAATATTTATTTTTGTCTTTAAAATATTATATGATCGGTATATTGTACAGAAGAATTTTTTAGAAAGCCGTTTTATTATTCTAACATTCATATTTTTTGACCAGATTTATTCAACCTGCATAAATCGAAATGGCGGCTCGATTGTAGTCTTTATATTTTTGCTCGAGTTTTTTTACTTTTAGAGGCACGATAATGGCACTAAACTTCGCCAATCATGGATGAATATAATGTCAAATGGAAGAATATACCAATCTGTGCCGAGGTATGCATGTGTTGATTTATTTGACTGATAAAAATGTCACTATTAAGGGACATACTGATGATATGCGCTTTTTATAGAGGCAAGTGACAAATCCTGCGAGCTGATTTCGGGACACCGGGTCCCGACCGGTGTAAGGCCGTCGGGACCCGGTTTATGAAAATCCCGACATGACTCAGGCCTAATTTCTATGGAAGAAAACTGCTACACAAACAATATTTTGTATAGCAGTCATGCAAAAATGCATAGCAAATTGCGATGCGATACCAGGAAAATTATTCCCTGAGACTGTATCTTCAACATACGATGGCATAGGCGATCGTTCAGTCTCTATATCCGGAGGTCTAGTGGAGCCAGATGTAGTCTCGGTGGAACAACCGACGATATAGAGACTGAAGCTTTCGGTCTAGGTTTTCAGTAGACCAAATTTTCTGTCTCTTTCGTTCGTTAAGCCTCTTATTTGTGTAGGGTCAGCTCCTCTCTTTAGAGACAGAACCCGACTAGATCTATAGGCGTTCTCCTTCAAACACCATGGCCATTTATTTACGCTCAAATTTTTATGCCCCCCAAATCCCCAAAATTACATTTTACCTCATACATATCCGCTGCATTTAATATAGACCCAATTTTCCGTCTCGTTGTTCGTTAGCCTCTTATTGGGGTAGGGTCGGCTCTCTCTTTAGAGACGGAAACCGTCTATACACATTCCCTTGATAACGCCACAGCCATTTCAGGTCGTATTGTTATGCCCCCAAAATCCCCCAAAATGTCATTTTACCTCGTGTATATCCAATTGTAAATTAGGCCTAGGCTATAATACATCGGTTCCACTTACTAACTTGACTGAAATAATCCGTTTAATAGTCCCTTTTAAGGAAATTATGGGTCAAAATCGACATCCATGTTGAAAATCTTGCAAGCCGTGTTAAACTCTCGCTGCGCATGGAGTCATCTAAATCAATCTCATCCCTTCTAGTCTACGCCGAAGGCAAAATGATAATGAAGGAAAAACTGTGATAACGCCATTACGAACGTGTAGATGGCGCACAGGAAATTATGGGTCGAAATCGACATCCATCCATGATGAAAATCTTGCAGCTGTATTTTAAAGTCTATGCCAAAGGCAAAATGATTATGAATGAAAAACTGTGATAACGTCATCATGAACTTGTAATGTTTTTTTACCCCTCTGGGCATCTGGCCAACCACTTGAAATTATAAATTGAAGAAGTCTACGGTGGGAAAAAGGTTGATTCTTTGTCCTAACCCAACGATTCATGTTGTATCCTCAATTCAACATGGCGAAGAGAAGGTACGCACGCGGGGAAGCAGCGCAGTAAATATGAATATTCATGATATAGAGCGCTGCTGTCCGCTCAAAATTGCTGAATATGCTTAAAATTGAGAAGGGCTCTTTTTCTCTGATTTGCAATTTCAAACTTTACGAGGCCCAAAAAATGAAAAGGTTAAACTCCTACGGCATTTGAAAGATAATACTAATTTAGAACTTCCCTAAAAAAAGTGGGGCTTGAAAATGTCTTCAAATTGGTAAATAACGATTATTAGTTGTCAAATCGACTTAAGAGCTTAGTATAGAGCCAGTAATTAATAGTCTTGATTTTCAGACCATTGTACCGAATGGTCGTACGATTTATGCTGCGCAAAGATTTAATCAGTTTGATTTTGGCCATCACAAGAAGTGGGTTGTTGATGTAGACAAATGCTCATGTACACTTTACTGCTCATTTTATGTATGTTATTATCAAAGAAGAAGAAAAGCCAGTCAGTCACTCAACAGTGTCTGACAGTGAAGTCTAGCAAGTAAATGAGTTTCCTTGCATAATTTGAATATTAGGACACTCCTAACATTTAAATTTCACAGATAGGACATACATGACATATTTATAATTCCTGCAAGGTTGTACAGAATTTGAGGTTGGTTGCAAAAGGGACATAGTACCTTTAAAGGTAAAGGCCAGTTTTAGAAACGCCCTACTCTCCAAAAATGAAATGGAAGCTCTTATTGAAAGAATATGTTTTGGCTAATACTTGATGATACAATTTTGCCGGGAAACTGCCTAATAATTGATATGTTTGGTAAATTATCATATCTATCCGTCTGGATATTATATCGCGTAGTCCCTTTCTGTGTAATTTACCAAGACTGGGCCAAATTTCTTATTATTTTGATGATTCCAGAACCTTGCAGTACTGGCACACACCAATACGCTAGATGATCAACCTTTTATGAACGATTCCACAACGTTTCTTTCACAATGCAATCGCATGACCAAAACTGGTCTATACCTTTAACCATTTTTTTAAGGAGATCTTTTGACGACTCTGTATACTGGCATCTATCTTGATCCTTGTAGGTGATCGACCACTATGAGAACCCCAGGAACGTGGGAGCCATGGACAAGAACGACAAGAACGTTGGTACAGGATTGGTCGGCGCACCGGCGTGTGGAGACGTCATGAAACTACAGGTAACTCTTCTTCTTGAACGCTGTATTCGTGAGTGTACTGACATTGCAGGTGTGGTGCAAACACATGTACAGTGTCTTAATCTGTAAGATACCCTACAATGTTAACCACATGTACATGTATGTGCAGCCAAAATTTGTTGTCCATTAAGCATAACATGTTCTGGATATGAAGTATTGAATTTCATTAATAAGTTGGTTCAGTTTTGAATTTGTTTGATCCTGCAGAATTTTGAAAGATTGTTGTAAATATCTTGTTGTAATGATATTTATAGTCTGATTGAATAGTCATACAATACAACATCTCTCTAGCCTGCTCTCACTTTTGCTACAGACACTCGTAATAGACTGATAAATACCTGTAATAAGACATGAAGGAAGGAAACAGGAAAGCAGTTTAGTTTCCAACAAGCTCCATAGACTTTGTACATACAGACATAATGGCCCAAATTCACAAAGGAGGTTTAGATTTAACCCATGGTTTAAACCCTCATTTACATAGCCCATGGTTTAAAATAAGCGCAAAATAAGCTCGACACAAGTCAGAGGTCCATGTAAATGAGGGTTTAAACCATGAGTTAAATCTAAACCTCCTTTGTGAATTCGGGCACTTTAGGATCCAGGGTACTGTCAGACACTGTCACTCTGCCCAAAGGATGACATCACTTGCAAACCAGTTGAATTTAATTGTGCAGTGGTTTGATGCAAAGAATGTCTTTTTAATCAATTCATCTCTTTATCTTGGTCTTGTCTTCTCTCTCCCCCCCCCCCCCTCTCTCTCTCTCTCTCTCTCTCTCTCTCTCTCCATGTCTCTCTTTCTCTCTCCCTGTCTCTCTCTCTTCATCTCTCTCTCTCTCCATGTCTCTCTTTCTCTCTCCCTGTCTCTCTTACTCTCTCTTCCTCTTCCTCTCTCTGAACAGATCAAGGTTGACGATGATGGAAAGATAGTGGATGCTAAATTCAAGACTTTTGGTTGTGGTTCAGCCATCGCCTCCAGCTCCTTAGCCACTGAGTGGATCAAAGGCAGATCGGTAAGTACACACTGGTCAGTGAAGGAGATTGCCCAAGTTCACACTTTATTTTCTTTAAAAATGGAAGAATTAATCAGCAATATCTGTCATTAGTTTGAACATATGTGTGGCTTACCCCCAGTAAATAAGATCGATTGAGCGATCTGTTCAAACTATTGAAATTCCTCCCAGGAAGCATTACATTTATTTAAAAAAAAAAAAAAAAAAATATCTGTCATGTTTATGAAGTAAGTTGATATAAATGACTGATAGGAAAGAGAGGGAGAGGGGGAGGGAGGGAGGAAGGGAGGTAAGAAAGAAAGGAATTTACACTGTATATAAATAAATATTAAGATTGCAAAATTACCCAGAAGTTCTATATGCACCAATTAAAGGCAATGCAATTTTCAATATAGCATTGATAGTAAATTTAGACTTGGAGATACTTCTCATCAAGAAGAAATCCTGATAGGTCTACATTTTCAATTCTATTCATAGATAATTAAAGATTTAGTGAGAAAACAGTACATCATATCCAGGGTTCGTACGGGTCAGGGAATTTCTGGAAAGTCAGGGAGTTTAAAAATGTTTTTTCCAGAAGCAAAAAGTCAGGGAATTCATCCATTTCTTCTGGAAAGTCAGGGAAAATCTTTTTTTCTTCAAGATGTTTGTTAAAATGGCATTTAATTTGTCTTGTGAACAAAGGAAAAAACATTTTGTATAATCTGTGGTTCACAGGACCTTTTTCGTAATAAATTACACGCAATATCTTTAGGACCTCAGTACTAGTATCGTGTCTATTGTGTCTTTCATACTGTATGCAAGATGTTTGTGTGCGTAAACGACTTGCAGTGACAGGTGCGGTGCATGATGCCGGTGTGTGTACATACAGTAATGGCACGCTGTACGATTACTTTTTGATCGAGCTCGTGTTTTGATTTTGATTAAAAGTTTGAATGAAGGTGTTTTACCCCGGGGTTTTACCACAGAATATTCATTAAACAATAATTTAAATGTAAATAACTATGCATCATGAGCCACTCGTGTTTTCTTAAGAACCGCTTTAAAAATCGTGTTGGTCTTTACTCGAATATCGCAACCCTGAATCGCATTTGATTCTACATTTGGCATCCATTGTGCAAGCGCGAGCATACAGCCAGTAGTTAGCTAGCCTAGCCTCGTGGTTGCTGCTTTCCCCAACGTCCGCTATTAAGGCACCTTTTTTCCGTCAGCAAAATATCGAAAGTCGGGGGTGCGCCTTATAGTATAGTCAGGTACAGGATATTTGAGTCCTCAAATGCTATTTGTTAGTGGTTTTCAAAAATCTCTGTGTCTCAACATGAATTACATAATGCAAATAAAGAATAGGATCTACTATCTGAAGGTAAACTATGTTCCTAATTTGAAAGGAAGAGAGTTTTTTGCAGTTTTTTTTTCAGTCTCGATAAATTATGCCCTGTCACAAAGCACTTTGCCGGCCGAAGCTCTCCCGTGTCTTCAGCTAGCTCACCTGTATGATGCAGCTCACTTACACAGGGGATAACGAATCACCACAAGAAAACTAGCCTGTCCACATTTCTGTTTGGACTCGGAGGAAAATTCTGTCATCTTTAGTTTTAAAAACAACATTGTTACTGATGGGTCTAACTTAGTTCACAGGCACTTCAACTGTGCCTCGTAATTAAATGAAAGTATTTTCGAACACTGTCACTGAAATAAGAGCCGATCTGATGTTAACAAAAAGACCAATGTTGGCTTTTTTTTGGTGGCTTTTTGTTAACCAGATTTCAGTGTTCGAAAAATACTTTCACTTTTCATTAAACGAGGCACAGTTGAAGTGCTTGTGAACTAAGTGAGACCTAGGTCTAGTAACAATGTTGTTTTTTCAGATTTTTTTATTTTTTTTATTTTATTTTTTATTTTTTTTTGGGGGGGGGGATCTTCGAAATAGGGGTGCGCCTTATAGTTTTGTGATTTGCTTCCTAGTATTACGATGATGTATAGTTGTACGCTTTAAATTAAGACGTGTTCATCATTGAAAGTGGTCATGGAAATTTACATTATCCTGCTTTGGAAAGTCATGGAAAGTCATGGAATTTTTAAAATGTGTAAGTGTACGAACCCTGATATCATTGCTATGCCTATGGTTAACATTTCCATGTGATAGTTGGATCTTACTTTTTATACAAATGTATAAATGTGACGTGTAAACTACTAATTTATATTGAGGATGCTAATACGGGAGGCAATGATTTGTAGAATAATTTGTTTTCCTCCGAGTTCAATAACTCTTACTTCTTCTTTTTTTTGTGTGTGTAATACAGGTGGATGAGGCAAAGGACATCAAGAACACAGACATCGCCAAAGAATTGAGTCTGCCCCCTGTCAAGTTACATTGCTCAAGTAAGTAGTCATAATAGTCAAAATAATAATAATTGTAGAGTTGTTGTTGGTAATGTGGCGTTCATTCGGTATTGAATATATACGCCATATCTTTGGTTTTATAAGAAAATCAGTTATCCATAAAGAAAACAGAATATAAATTTGTAGAGGTAAAAATTTGTAATTGTAGAGGTGTTGTGGTGGTCGAGTTATAGGCCTATATCACTGGACTGTGGATCACAAGGTCCGCGTTTCGAGTCCTGCCACGGCACTAATGGCTTTGGCAACCATTAATCTACATTTGCCATGCTCAACCCAGGTGAATGAGTACCTGGCAGGAATGAATTCCTTGAAATGCTAGAGCGCCGTAATGGCAGCCATGCTGAAGCAGGGGTGATAATTGTGGAGCGCCAGGAGGGTCATGTCTGACAGACATGAGCGCTATACAGGAACCCACTATCATCACCAACAGTAATCTCCTCACAGTGATGCAGAGATGCCAACCAGTACGATTAGATCGTATTTAGTACGATTAGAAGAGTGAATTTGATCTTAAAATCTTAAAATACGATTTTTCAACAAAAAAAAAAAAAAAAGAAGAACAAAAAAAGAAAACCCCATAAAAACAGCGGAATCGCATAGAAACATGTACATGTACCAGTAAACCCCCGCAACCTCAACAAACACTTTGCTTTCTCATTAAATTTTAATGAAAGAGCAAACATTTTTCTGAAATTTTACAGGCCCGGGGCCGACGGCCAGTGGTTCTGTCGAGTTATCGTGAAAATCTGATTTTTTAGGATACTCAGTCTGTTTTTTTTGTGTCAAGAGGTTGGCATCTCTGGTACTGATACAATATGGATTCTTATCCATTCACCCGGGTTGTTGAACAGTGCACAACACACTTGGTAGGCCTACTGATGCCAAGCAAAGTCAAAATCGTTTCAGCTGTGGCTTTGTTGATACCCCAGGAAATAAGAGGAATGAATAAGAATTTTTGGTGGGAAAGGTTTAAATAGCTTTAATATCGATGGTAAAATTTTGCACTGATTCCGAAACGCAAGTCTCAATGACCCTGCTTGTGATTGTTTGGTAATTTAGGCTACTTTTGGGCCAAAACTGGCCATCATGGACACTTTTTGTCAAGGGTAATTTTTCCAATTGTTATCATCAGCAAAGGAGATTTGATTGGCCTATTCTATGTAAAAATGTGCCCTGATGCTAGAAAAAAAGAGAGGTCACATTGACCCCCATTAACAACAATATGGTCATTGTGGTCACTTTTAGGCCAAACATGACCATTTGTATTGATTTTGTACAGAATCGGGCCAAATATTCTGTCAGAATGAATTGATGTTGGATTTTGACATCCCAATTCAATATAAAAATGTTTGCTATAACAGAACAATCAATCTCATCAAATGAACTTATATTACACAATTCGATCGGTGGCTAGCATTTTGCTGCGCATCACTTGTTGAAAGAAATTGACCTGCTGTTAATTGTGAATCCTCCCTATTAAATATTTTCTGAAATTGTTTATTTTCTACATTGTAGTGCTGGCTGAGGATGCTATCAAGGCGGCGCTACAGGACTACAGGGTCAAGCAGGATTCCAAGGAAGCAGCAACGAACTAATACGATCCATGTTTGTATGATATCTTTTCAATCGTTCTTCATTATTATTAGCGACCGCCCAAGTGAAAACCAAAAAATGTTCTTTGTAGACAGGTTCCCTTAAGTACATGTTTCAATGGAAACAAAAAATGTAGTCTTTGTAGACAGGTGGTCTTTAAAGCAGGTTTGACTGTATCATTATTGTTATGCAAGGAGAACACAGCCTCCTTTCAGGCTTTATGATAAGGAGGATCTGTTTTAAAATAACTGTCTCTGCTTGTTATGGAATTTCAACATGGCATATTGTTTGTTAAATATCATTTCATTAAAGAACCTGTTTTCAACATTTTGGCTAAGGCTAGAAATAGTCTGAAATATTTGTGACAAAACTTAAAATGCTCTGTTAGCTGCAAAGGCATTATCAGTAAAAAAAATTTTTTAAAAATGGACATCAATCTGGATCCCCGAAAATAAGCAGATGACGGAACTGATGTAATGTATTGTCTGTTTCATTGTCTTCCGCACTAAAATCTGGAAAAGGATTTATAATTGTTTCAAACTAATTGTTATTGCTATTTCAAGTTGGAGAGTAGCTATATACAGTGTGCAAACTAACAGGTTTATTTTGTATTTTAGGTACTATTTTTTTTTATGTTGATGTTGATTACATATTCAGTATTTGATTTTGACATGCCATTCTTAAATCATTGTTGCTTGGCGACATGTGTATGGATTAATGTTATGAATGTATCATTAAAAGCAAGGAAATATGTACAGGTCCAAGTTTGTTCACATTTCACAATAACCGTTTGTTCTCGGGTTTAGTTTTTTCTGGACGCTTTATTCAGTAGTAAGAGCTGAGGTATCAGAGTAATTTTAATTTAATTTTTTAATATAATGGATGAATCTTTCTTGTTACTGAGAGACATACTAGTGTGTTTTACTGTTTCTAAACAGCTGTAAAATTGAGTGTATTTTTGGCAAAAGAGTATTCCCAGGTAGACAAAGGTAGACATGTGCAATGAAATGTAATATAAAAATAAGAGTACAGGTATATAATTGTGTTGTTTTCTTCTTACTGAAGACTTTGCATGATGCATAGTACATGCTGTATTTTGGGACAGTTTCATAACTTTGATGGAAATGACTTATTGACTTTTCACATCTCGCCTTTAATTATGTCAAAAGGAATGTTGGTTATTGCATTTTCATTTATCATGCAATTTTTTTAATCAAGTTAATAAAACTGAATGCAACTAAAAAGTATTGTTCAGTGTTAAATAGTGTCTGGTTGAAGAGAGGAGATGGACAATCTGTTTTCTGTTTAATTGATGCAGAGGGTTTATGATATGCAAGGAGTTTATTATGGATGGAATCAGTTGTAAATTAGTATGCTGTTGCACATTATATTGTGTGTTTGTATGGTTGTATTTTATTTTGATTAAATCAGTCCATTTTATTGGAAGTTTTTGCTTTCCTCAATTTCTTTGATACAATTTTCTGTTAAGAGCCAGGAGAGTGTTATCTGAAATGATACAAGCGATGAGTTTACTCTGGCACTATTAAAACAGATGTTATATCATATTGCAGGGTGAAATAGAATGCTACATCAGATTTACTTGTGGGCTGAAGCTTTAGCTGCAAATGAATACCGGTACATGTAGTTTGTTTTACTTTGTTGATAAGACTGTAAACTGAGAATACTGTATGTTCATGTAGTGACTATAAAGGATGGTTTAAGTAAGTACTGTACATGTCTTGCAAATGCATTTCATTATTCAGATCTTTAGATCCATTCAATGCAAGTACACTGTACCAACTGTATTTCTTTGGGCCATTAACTTCAGAACTGGGGGCCAATTTTGAAGTACATGTATTTTTTCTTTCACTTGTATCAATATCACGACTTTGTTACCAGAGTGTCATATATGGGATTGCACTTATATCCAAGGGTGTTAACTTTGAACTTAATAATTTGTGATTTCGCTATTGTTCATCATGTAAATAATAAAGTAAGCAATATAAGGTAATGGTTGTGTATGATTTTATTATTTTAATTAGAAAATGTGTTAAATAGGTATGTGAAGATAGGTTGTATGACACATGCTCCTGCGACCATTGCTTCGTGGTAAGATAAGATAAGAGAGAGAAAGGGAAGGAGGGAGAGAGAGACAGAGAGAGCATCCTGAAAATACATGTAGAACAACATGTACGAAGGGGGAAGGGGGTGGAGTCTGACAATTTTTGTAATGATTCTAGTTCCCTGTATATTTCCAGATTTGATATTCATGAATGCGTATTCATAATTTATGCCAATTAACCCATGCATATTCAAGTATCATAAAAATGATGTTACCTCACGAATTTGAGATGAAGGAAACATTTATTCAATACATTTTCAAGATTCTTCACAAGTCTACAGACAAATATGTAGAGTTTTCTTTAAAATGCATAAAATTAGCATTTTTCATAATTAATTAGGCTATAACGACAAAAATTTGCATATTAGGAAAAAACTAATTATACCATCTTGTTCCTATGTAAATATCTACAAACATGCACATTTTCATGTTCATCGGGCTATCGACAGCCGAGATCATAGGGGGGGGGGGGGGGGAGCCTACCAGCTCCCCCCCCCCCCCCCCCAGTCATGAGGTGATCAAAATAGCCCAGTACAGTAAGGGTTAAGAAGTTACACATGATACAAACAAATCCACATAACGGTACAAGTTTTTTTGGTTTTTTTTCATTGATTTTTTATTGGGGCAATACAATCCAGCACAGAACAATGATATCAAATTATGCAACTGGGCTGCACAATACCCCTCCCCTCTCCCTGGAATATAATAACACTCTTAAATAACTAAAACGGTAGCTTTGAATTTTAATTGTACTTAACCTCCATTTAATATCTTTATTTAATAGCAAAAATATTTCGTGAAAGAGATAGTTGTGTCAGCCATGAAGCTCGACAATTATAGCTGTGCCCAGATTAAGAATATCAGCATTAAAGGGATCCGGTAACTTTGTCTCAGATTCTGAAACAAAATTCAGGATTTAGCTCATGATGCAATGATAATTATAAACCTTTAGGTCAGTCAGGAACCCCATGACTTTTACAAGCCGATCGCCTGTCTGATTATCAAGATATTTATGATTGGAATTACAAATTTTGAAAACCGTTCGCCTGACGGTTTTCATAACACTACAGTCTATTGGGGAAAACGAGTATGGTAAAACCGGTCACTCAAAGATTTTTACTTTTTTGAGGCACTTCTTGATCATTTTGAAGCGCAATTTTTGCAGGGCTTCAATATTACACCATATCACAGACACTGATAACACGTAGGGCCGTGTATCTCAGATTTAACATTGTTAAACGATCCCTTTAATTGGAAGATTTCTGAAAATGAAGTTAAGAGCATATTTTTGTTTTTAAAATACTTGGCATCAAACGTAATATAGTCCTGAAAAGAAATTGGATACAGTGTGTGCAAAAAGTTTTCCCTTTCTACTCATGTGTCTTGTTTATTTTTAGGGCTCTGGATCAAAAGTTATTGAGGCAAACCACAAAATATCAAATGATTGTCCAAATACTATCAAATCTTGGCCAATGGGGTAATGTAAATTTCTATTCGGCCTGCTGTCAGTGTGACATGTGAATGGGGTGTCAAAATATAATACATCTGAGCAAATGGCCAATCAACAGTTACTGTTGCCTATGACGGCCCGTTTCATAAAACTAGTTATCATTCACATTTCTCTTACAAATTTGCTCTCAGCCAATTAAATGCAATGATTTCTGTAGCTTATAAAAATATAACAGTTCTTGAAACTTTGTATTGATAACTAGATGGAATTTTGACTGCGCGCAGTCGAAAATGATGCCTCCGCCATAGAGCAATTTAAACAAGTTTGGAGTTTAAATCTCCAGTGCTTCTTGAGATATCATGATAACAATCTCAATGTATGGAATTTCATAAGTTGACCTCTGTGACCCTTGACCTTTGACCTACGTGCTCCAAAATCTAATCAGATTGTCTTCCTATGGTGATACACACTATCATTAAGTTTGAAGTTTAAATCTCCAGTGGTTCTTGAGATATTATGATATTATGGTGATACATACTATCATTAAGTTTGAAGTGAAAATTCTCCAGTGGTTCTTGAGATATCGCGATAACGATCTCAATGTATGGAATTTCATAAGTTGACCTCTGTGACCCTTGACCTTTGACCTACGTGCTCCAAAATCTAATCAGATTGTCTTCCTATGGTGATACACACTATCATTAAGTTTGAAGTTTAAATCTCCAGTGGTTCTTGAGATATCATGATAACAATCTCAATGTATGGAATTTCATAAGTTGACCTCTGTGACCCTTGACCTTTGACCTACGTGCTCCAAAATCTAATCAGATCGTCTTCCTATGGTGATATATACTATCCTTAAGTTTGAAGTTTTTACATCTCCAGTGGTTCTTGAGATATCATGATAACAATCTCAATGTATGGAATTTCATAAGTTGACCTCTATGACCCTTGACCTTTGACCTACGTGCTCCAAAATGTAATCAGATTGTTTTCCTATAGTGATACACACTATCACTAAGTTTGAAGTTTAAATCTCCAGTGGTTCTTGAGATAATCATGATAACAATCTCAATGTATGGAATTTCATAAGTTGACCTCTGTGACCCTTGACCTTTGACATACGTTCTCCAAAATCTAATCAGATCGTCTTCCTATGGTGATACATACTATCCTTAAGTTTGAAGTTTAAATCTCAAATGGTTCTTGAGATATCGCGCTAACAAACTCAATACAAGGAATTTCATAAGTTGACCTCTGTGACCTGTGACCTTTGACCTACGTACTCCAAAATCTAATCAGATCGTCTTCCTATGGTGATAAATACTATTCCCGAGTCTTAAGTTTAAATCTTAAATGGTTCTTGAGATATTGTGATAACGGTCAAACGGGACGGACGTACGGACGTACAGACGGACAACCCGAAAACATGATGCCTCCGGCACCACCTTCGGTGGCGGAGGCATAATAAGGATATATTGACTACTTTGAGAGGCATAGTGGTTTCTATAGGGTCAAGGGAAACTCACAACCTGCTATGACCCCAAGGCGCTTGCGCCGCGGGGTCATAGCAGGTTGTGAGTTTCCCGAGACCCTATAGAAACCACTATGCCTCGAATATTAAAAGCAGTCAATATATATTTTATATACCGAAAAAAAGGAAAATGTTGACTCACCCATTTAGGTTTCCATCTCATCGCACAAAAGGAACTTATACGGTAACACGTAAACCAAAATGGGGATCGCAGCAAAATGACGTCACGTTTCACAGCCATGGAAAAAGTGCGATGAAAAATGGATATAAACCGGTAGAGCCGGGGAAAATGACTATGAATTTCAATTAGCGGGCATGGTTGGGGATCGCAGCAAAATGACGTCACGTTTCACAGCCATGGAAAAAGTGCTATGAAAAATGGATATAAACCGGTAGAGCCGGGAAAAATGACTATGAATTTCAATTAGCGGGCATGGTTAAGAACATGACTGCATTTTCAACCAATCAGAAGACAGGATTAGTAAAGAATCTTAAAATGAGGTATATAACAAGTTTTATAAAACAGGGCCCTTAACCTATTTTCCATAACAGGCATGCATAAGCAATGGTGTGACTACCTCTTGTGCATGCATAAGCAATGGTGTGACTACCTCTTGTGCATGCATCCCACAGGTTACGTGATACCGTATCAATGAAAAAACAGTGTTGATTAAATAAATGTGTTCTTCTGTTTAAATGACTTTGTGAAAGAAATACCAAACTTTTCTGTTGATGCTCAGGATTACAACGACAATAGACATAAGAACATAAAGCTTGCCATCCCCACCACACATCAATACCATTGTGTCAATTATACATGAAGGCTTTCCAGCAGACTTTTGTTTGTTTATATTTTGCAGGTCCAAACAACAAATGGCAAATAACCTGCATGATAAAACATTCATGATCACTTTTGGTAGGTTTCTCTTCGAATACTATTAGCACTCGGCGTGAAAGTTGAGTTTGGGAACATCCATTTCAACAAGTTAAACGCAGCTAAAAACTGCCTCTTTAATGACAGGCACTGACCTCCTTAATCTACCAATGGGAGAAACATGGGACTGCTACAGTCAACTTTTGTCATACATACAATATATACATGTAAAATATGCTACAAAAAATGTGGCCATTTAGGACATCAGTCTCTACTCTCTAGCAGACAAAGAGTGACTATACATATCCATAGAGAGAAATGACATTGGTCCCTCTGCAAAGGAATATTCTTCTGATATTCATGGAAGATGGATAATACAGTGTAGTAATGTAAGTTTGTTGATGGGCAGGTGTCATCTCTTCCGTTGCATGTGGAATTTGAAGACTGGTGCTGACTCTTGTGTCTCTTCCTTCACCAGCCTCTTACGAGTTTTATCCTGGAGCACGAGGAACAGAGAAGGAGAGAGAGAGAGAGAGAGAAAGAGAGAAAGATGAACAGAATATGACAGGGATAAGAAGAAAAAAAAAAGAAAGTGACAGAGAGAAAGAGAAAACAAAATGGAAAATGTATTAAAAAGCATATTGTCGGCAGTTTGTATGTGTATTGTGTCATAATTCCTTTAAACTGGACTTGGAAATACCCATTAAAGAGTGTAAAATGTCCCACACAGGGGGTAGGGAAACTTATAGCCCACCAAGAAACTACCAGAACTTGCTTCCAGTCTTGAACAATGCCAGATTCCCCAACAGAACCCATGCTTATGTTTCTTTAGGAGAACTGCATCACCATTATTTCACTCTGTGTGAGCAAGCACATTTCTTCTTTAGCAACAGTGATATTATTACATCTCTAATCAAAACTCAACAGCTCAGAATTTGACCCCAAAAATTTGTCCCAATGCCGTTTCAACCAACACTCAACAATAAATCCATAATCATACATAGCAAGGAAAATACCTTGAAATGTTTCTTTGCTTCCATTTTCTGTGCTATGATGTTGAGCTGTTTCTCTCGTTCTATCCTCTGGCTCAGCTCATGGTAACGCTTCTTTTTCTCTTTCCCAACGGCCTATAAAGGAGAAAAGTACAAACATTGGTTACAAGCCACCTGGACAACATCATTCTGGTATAATGCAAAACTCAATGAGCATTTTCATTTTTTTTTATACAACTTTGACCATCATAGTTTTCCAGACATTTGAAGAGTTTAAGAACTAAATTAGTTTTACCCTCCAAAAGGGGTATTTAACGCTCAAAACAACTAAATCACTATAATTTTGCAAACAGTTCCAAATTACACAGTCAGAAAACAAGACTGCAGCTCATGATAATAAAAGGAGAGCATGGCCACACTATACACAGATTTGTCAAGACATGAATAAAGCTTTATGAGAAGAAGAATTTAAAGCAAAAGAAGATTTGGAAAAAACACCCACCTAACCAACTGCCAAACAAGTACGACAAGTATAAGGAACATTTATGCAGTGATAATAAAACAAATATTTAACATTTTGTGAGGAAGTATATAGTGACAGAGTGAAAGAAATGCATTGTAAAAATTTGTTAAATTAAAACTTGACATTCTGCCCCAGACCATTGGCTACGCTTTTGAAATAACCACAAGTAGCTAAAATAAATAAAGAAAAAAATATTTTTAAAAAGAAGGGAAAAAAAAGAAGAAATAATCAAACAAGCAAGCAAACGAACAAAACAATTCTTTTGAGGCTTACCAGTATGCCTGAAGAAGTCCCTTCTTCTGCACTGCCCCCAGCTATGGCCTTCAGCATTGATGGATCAGATAACATGGATAGAGTGGGACGATTGTGTGTTCGGTGAAGCAAGGCAGGATGCGTGTTGAGATGCTTGGCTGGGTCAAATTCATTTGCTACAAGGTCAAAAAACATACAAACTTCTAATTACTGGTATGTTTACAATGAAAATGAAAGATTTTTTACTGTAGCGGACATTACAGAATGAAATTTGGGGTAAGGGCTGATCATGGCACTGGTAAAAAAAATGTCAGTCAAAACAATCAAAGGAATAGCTTAAAGGTATAGACCAGTTTTGGAAACGCCCTCCTCTCAAAGATGAAATGGAAGTTCTTCTTACCAATCATGTGAAAGAAAATGTTTTAACTAATACGTGATGATACAAATTTTGCCGGGAAATCGCCTACTAATTGATATATGTGGTAAATTATCATATCTTTCCGGCCTGGATATATATTGCGTAGTCCCATATATATCTTTCTATGTTCAGTGCTTGTAACTTTACCAAGACTGGGCCAAATTTCTTATCATTTTGATGATTCCAGAACCTTGCAGTACACACCAATACTTATATGCTGATCGATTCCACAACGTTTCTTTCACAGTGCAATTGCATGACCAGAACTGGTCTACACCTTTAATGTATGTTACAACCTTTCAACCTTTGAAAACATTGAGTAAGATATGGATATTATATGTTAATATAAATGTCTTTTTAAATTTCTGTATAAATGCACCTTTCATATGTTCAGGGGTTTGAATAAAATACTATTGGAGAAAGAAGGAAAAAACAAAAACAATATGGACAACCCTCCTGAATGGGTCAGACCACCATCAGAGAAACCAGACTAAAAGTTAGGGTAAGACTGGGGTGCCAATAGTGAAACAAGTCCTATAAGAATCCAACATTCATCAATATACCGGTTTACAAACATATTCAAACTTGTGGATGTTTCTTTCCTTGGGCCCTAGTGACAAGTTATTCCATTAATCCTTACTGTACTGGGGGGGCCTCAACATTTTTGGAGATTGCGCCGCAAACGCTTGGAATTTTGAATTGTCGTTTCATGACTTTTTTCCCTCAAGTCTTACGCACATTTTGATACCATAATAACCATAAATATAATAAGAAATAAAAAACAATAAAATACAAAAGAAAATAAATATTTAAAAATCGCATCAAATTTGCATAAAACATCATTATTAATTCCATCAAAATAACTATTTTGTGTTAGAAAAGAAGTTTTATATGAATAATGAGTTTCAATTAACATTCAAAAAGTGGAGTCTGACAATTTTTGTAATGATTCTAGTTCCCTGTATATTTCCAGATTTGATATTCATGAATGCGTATTCATAATTTATGCAAAGTAACCTATGCTTTTTCAAATATCATAAAAATAATGCAACCTCATGAATTTGAGATAAAGGAAACATTTATTCAATATATTTTCAACATTTTTCACAAGTCTACAGAAAAATATGTAGAGTTTTCTGTAAAATCCATAAAATTAGCATTTTGCATAATTAATCAGGCTATAACAACAAAAATTTGCATATTAGGAAAAAGCTGATAATACCATCTTGTTCCTAACGTAAATATCTTCAAACATGAAAATGTTTGTGTTCATCGGACTTTCGACGGCCGAGATCATATGGCCCCCCCCCCCCCCCCCCCCCCAGTCACAAGGTGCTCAAAATAGCCCAGTACAGTAAGGGTTAACTTGTTATTGATAAATGAACTACCATACCAGGTATCCAGTCTGGACATATTATTAATTGTTGCTTTGTCGGGCCAAGCAAGCTTTCAGGATGTCACAAAACAACCTCTGTTACTAATTATGCATAAAACTTTGGATATTTTAGTTAACCGGTCTTTTGGTCTCCATGACAGAGAATTAATATGGATGTACCAGTACCTTCTCTGACTGTGTCCACAAAGAATGTATGTTTGTTCTTTGGCTTCTCCTCCGTATCTTCAAGCATATGAAGACTGGATTTCAGCTTCTCAATTTTCTACATGGAAACAAACAATGAAGTAAGAGTGAGGTTCTGAAACAAATGATAAGATATCACCTCAATCTTACTGAAAATAGCCGAGTGTAAAGCACTGAACACAGATATGAACATTGTATTGTATTATATTGTATTGTATTGGTTTATTGAAATCATTAAACGTACAGCTATAAGCTGAAATTGTTCAGCTAACAGAGTAAAAAGTAGATGGCATAACATTGCATTGATAATACATTAACAAATATATTAAATTGAACAAGTCAAGTATTGTGTATATTTACATGTAAGTTATAAGTTTCTTATTAATCTAAAAATTGCGCTTTGCTATGAGTAAAAGACAAATGTGAGAATTAATACCATTCATCTTGATTTAATACAAAAATGCTGGAAAATGCTGCCCACAAACACTGATAAAGATTGTGAGTTATTAATCATAAGATATATTAAGGTTCCTATGACACTCACAAACATATAGCATCCAAATTTAACTGTTTTTAGTCACAGTTTGAATTTCAGAACAGTTCAAGAGGAAGCTGTTTCATTTGACATTGCTAAGTACATGTACTATGATATTTTCCAAATGATAATGAAAAGAACACTTATTTTCAGAGTTGAATTAAATTAATCACATATTGTTCTTCAAATTGGCAACAGTAACATTTTTCTTTCATTGTGGCAATGTTGGAATAAAATATTATGTCTCTGAAAATAATATACATGGGCAAGAATGTTGTAGAAAAACTGAAAGTATAGACAAATTTGATTGAAAAACAATGATTTTGAATTCCACAATGTGTTGCCATTTGATGATTTTAAAGGTTATTTTCCTTCTTAAATTTCCTGGAATCAAACATACTATAGTTATTACATAAAAATGGATGCAGTGTGTGCAGGAGTTTTTGCTCTTTCTACTTTAAGGTAATACAAAGTTTTGGGAAATTTTGAAAATTGGGTGGATAGTGATTATTTACAATTTTGGGTAATTTGGATGCCCCTGTGGATGTATTATAAGCACTAGAAAATTTAGCCCCTAAAACACTTCAGCTTTCAAGAAAAATTGAACATCAAAATTTACCGGTGCTCCTGGTAAATTTTGATGAATTTCAAATAGTGCCTACGACTGTACGATGGTAGCTGCGACCATGAAAATCTCAGAATATGTAGTAGTGATATATAATTTTCAAACGGGAATATATCTAATCGGTCGATTATTGTCAAGAAACATTGTTTTATAGCCTAATTAATATCTTGACCTTAAGAGGGAGCTATATAACATAACAAGTTTAATATTTACAATTTCATAACTTTAGACTTGATTTCACCGCGACAACGATCACTGAATATTGTAGGATCGCATATGCTTCCAATATGTTCATTTGGACCAAATTCATGACCCCATCCCAAAACTTTGTATTACCTTTAAGTAACTGGCATATTTTTGTATGGCTCTGGGATCAAAATTTATAGAGCCAAGGAACAAAATGTGTGGAATGATTGTCGTGAAAGGGTTGAACTAAACCTACTTTTGATTCCACAGTCATCTTGTGGTTGACATATCTTAGATCCTGAGTATCCATCATCTTAACTTGCTCTTCGGTCGTTGGTTCGTCTTTCTTCAGTCTTGTATGAACTCCTTCCTATCAGAAATACAACAACGGAAATCACAGAATGAACGGACTTCATTGCTTTAAAAAACTACCATTTACCTTTTATAAATACATAAATGAAAAGTTCAAAAATCTAGATGTTGGCAAGAAGATTGTGTGGTTAGTGATAAGAAAATGGAATGTATTTTAAAGTGGTACTCTAGAGTCTCTAGTTAGGATGAAAGTCTTGAATCCTTTTATTAAAGTTCATTCTTTATACGTTCTTCAGTTTAAAAAACATGCTAAACATATATACAAGGCATTTGAAAGTAACATACAACGTACATATATGATTAAATGAATTCATATACTAAGAAGGAAAAAAAGGGCCATCATTAAAAGCCCCTTGAGTATTGAGGCTTGACCTATTGAGGCTGATGGTCCCAAGAATGATTAAGTTATTTTGACGGGAGAAAAAACACAAAAAATCCATATGTTAACATATCATTTTGGGGGGATATTTTTATCTTCAGAATACCCTTGTATGCAAGCAAACGTTAACCTGAATCCTGGCCCTTGGGCATCACACTCACCGGAACTTTAATCTGTGGGGTGGGGTGTTCTGTCCTTGCGATTCGTTCCCTTTACGTCTAGGAACAGTTTTTTTTTTAATCGCATTAAAATTTTTATTTTGCTTTCTTGAAGATTGGGGCCCCGTCTTAGATCTATTCAAATCAATGGCAAGTCCTCTAATCAATTTCAAGTTTGCAGTCTCCTATCCCTTATGTACATACATGTAGATGCCATTAATATCAATAGCAAATAAGTTGCGTAAATTGCAATTGTTCATAAGACAGGGCCCAGGTCAAATTATATATCGTGAATTGCAAGACTATCTGTACAAGTTTGGCCAGGAGGGATAAGACCTTCTGCAAGGTCAGTGACAGGTGTTTATCTCATCGAATCAGTGCTCAATTAACATAAGAAAAAGGGGACCATGGGGGACCAACGGGTACCGCTTAGGCATTGTTTGCTATATAGAGGGCGCAAGTAGCTATATGTAGTGCAGTGAGGCTTTAAGAAACAATGAGAATTAATTACAATCATTCTTGTGCTGATCATCTTGTAGTAAAACTCATCTGGATTCCTGTCCTGTGCTTTCTGACGTAACAACTTGAGTGCATCCTGTTTCTTGTGATAATCTCTGGGAAAAGAGAAACATAACATGGATGAAAAGTCAGTAAACCTGTAAATAATGTCTGCTTAATAGAAACTTTAAAAAAAAAGTATTGTACGCAGACTATGGGTTTTTATTACCAGAAGTAAATTTGAATTGAATTAAAGTAAAGTTTTTACAGGAGAAATGATCTTGAAGGAAAACCCAAAATGTAGATATTGATAGCGAGAAGATAAAGACGATCTTCCTTTACAGGTCGCAACTATAGCAGGTTTGACTGTACAGACAAACTATTTGTGGTGCATAACTATTTGTGGTGCATGTGTGTGTGTGTGTGTGGGGGGGGGGCAAGTAAAGTAGCCATAGAAGATGAATTCTTGTTATCTTATGTCAAAAGTACACAGACTACATTTAAGCAGGCAGAAATATGAAAGTTTTCACTTGACAATTAAAATGATATTCATTTTGGGGACATAAGATAGCTATAGTATTAGGCAATGGAATGCATTCAAGTGAAAAAAAAATCAAAGAAAATAACGTACCTTGCTCGCAGTTGATAATCTTTCTTCTTTTCTAGAAGCCCAAATCTGGCCCGACTAGAAGGCTACAATGATGTAAAAAGAAGAAAAGAAAAAGGAAAAACATCTAATAATGCTTGTAGCAAGGTGATCTTTATATGTGATTTTAATAGACGCAAAAAAGGTAAGGAAGGGCTAATTAAACTCTTTTTTTTTTTTTTACATATTTTATTTTATTTTATTTTATTTCTGCATTTTGTCCATATATAAAATATAACTGAATAACAAAGAACATATAAATGTAAGGTATAATACAACATAAACAAATAATAATTTCTTCATGTCAATTTTTTTTTTTAAAACTAATAACGAAACCTAATATTTCCATTACATATAATCATAAATTTAAAGTATTATCAGAACTATTCTGTTGGAAAAGTGCAGGAGACCGCAATCATAAGCAAAGCTTGACAAGGATGGCGGCCTCAAAAAATAAAAAATAAAATAAAATGAAAAAGTGATGGTTAATAGATTTCCCCCCTATTGACACTAGTATTGACACACAGAATATGACATACCGTACATATTTTTAAATGTTGAGTCATGACTCGTGAAATACATCATATTTGAGGGTTACAATCATGAGGGAAATTCTGGATAAATCTAACGCCTTGCAGTAATGTCTACTAAACTTAGATCTACATTTTTGCTATCAATATTCCTTGTTGAGTTCCAAGGTCTGGTATGGAAGACAGGTCATCAGAGAATAATCTCCCCTTTACCCGAGATATTAAATCTGAGTAGCTGATAAATTTTAAGTTATAACGTCTACCGTAAACAAGGTCTGTGTGATTGTTTGTCAACTCAATGATTATCAATAGTCTATATCAAAGAAAGAAATATCACCATCTTGGATCAAATAATTAAATATACTCAGTATGTAGACCCCTCCTCCCTAAATTATTTCAAATTATTTTCAGAAACTGAAATTTGAATCATCTGAATTTCTGATCATATTCATGATCATGATCAGTTTCATACAAACATTCCACTACATGTACCGGTACTGCCACTGTAAACCTGCCTATCCTTTGTATATGTGGACTACCAACACTGCACCTGCACCAACTGCAGTTCTCCAAACTGGAGGAAGCCAAGCCTTGCCCAAGCAAAGAAGAAGATCATTTGATTTTTGTCTTAGCCGCATTTTCATTAGGTGGTCTGTTATCAACAGACCACCTATTGATTTCGTCAGAATTTTCTTTATTTATTATTATTCTTTATTTTTTATTTCTTCCTGTTTTTTGTGCCCCGGATAACTCAAGTTTGGTTTAGTTAATTTCATTAAATTTTAGCACATTCATAGGTCATTGTCATGAGACGTGACATGAACATTTTCAAGGTCATCAAATCATCGTGACGTCATCCAGGCGCCATTTTGTGAAATCACATTATCCATCATATCTTCATGATGCATCAGCAAAGGTCATTCATATTCATATCACATATACTTTAGGTCAAGGGTCAACAGGTCATGTCATCAAAGGTCACACAAAGGTCATGACGCGCGTGTATGTGTGCGTCAAAATTTTAAAAAGCTCAAAATCACTTAACTATTAAAGGAGAGTACGAATCAGGTCATTTTAAGCATTTCAACATTTTCCGTCCGTACATGTACGTGTCCCCGCACGCTCACAGCGCGCGGAAAACGTCAAGTTCAAAATGTTTACATGATTTGGATTCCTCTCAACGTAATTGACAATTTACATTAATTTCAGTCACTCTTGACCTTTAATAAGGCCGTGAGCGTGCGTCAAAGTTCAAAATCCGCGCGTGCTGCTATGGGCAATATAATGCAAATTTGATCAAAAACATGCCATTTTAAAAATCGAAATAGCTCTTCAGATAGTCCATCGACCCCCGATTTTTATATCATGGTTGGAGAAAGCATGAGTTGGAGATATGATTTCATACCACCCTGACTCGTACAAAGTGTAACAAAGTCAACATATTGACATCTAAACTCAACAAAATGTATTTTGTTGATGACGTCATTTTTGTCTTTATTTAATTGAGATTATCTCACTTATCGGTCATCGATCTTCTCCCAGATTTCGATATGTTGTAGCTGAGCTAATTTTCTACCAGAAATATGCCATTTATATTTCATTTGGATGACGTCATCATAGTAAAATATTCGATTAAAGGCGACAATGCATAATTTGTCATATTTGCGTGTTATGTCTAAGGGAGGTCACTTTTTTCAAAACATGAATCTGCATGACAATGTGTTTTGACCAGTGTCTCGGTTGTTATTCAAAACAGTTTTCAACCAAATCTTAATATGTTGTAGCTGAGACTATATGCTATCTAAATATTTCCCCATTTTTTCAATCAGATGTCAGGATCATGCTCATACTCATCGTCATCATCATCATCAATATCATCATCATCATCATCAATGTCACCATCATCATCATCATCATGGTCTAAAGATGATGATCATCAACATCACCATGATCATGATCATTATCATCATCATCAGTAACATTATCGTTTTTACCATCATATAACATTATCATTATCATGATCATCATCACCTTTACTATCATGATCATCACCATGTTCATCATGATCATCATTGCATTGTTTACATGTCTAGATCTATATAACTTCTCCCATTCTTAAATCTATCATAAGACTTAGACAGACCACCTTATTCGTCTTCGTGACGAATTAAATTTCTAGTTTCTATTTGGTTTTCATTTTGATTTTGGTTTTCATTTTTTCTTCTTCTTCACTAAAAGTACAGGCCATGCACCGTCGGGTGTATTCATTTAATTTCATATTAATCATATCTGTTTACGTAGACTAGACCCTTGTCCCTACCTAGATCTAGACTAGCGTAGATCTAGGCACTACATAAATAATGTTTTTGCAATTAGAATTTGAAGATAAGTCTGACTGCTACATCTCCTAAAAAGGCTAAATTTTAAGAACAGTCAACACCAACACAACACTCAATTCAACAGTCATGCAAGCTTCGGCTCTACAAATCACTCACCACAAACACAAAAATATATTAATGGGACCGAAGTTTACAAATCTTTAAAGGTCCCAAATTCTAAACTTACTTGAGATCTTTCTCGGTGGCTTTTCTGCGCCGCCTTTTGGGCCTTCTTAAAAGATGACATATTTTTGACAATATGATCAAACAACCAAAGATGATAGAAGTCTACTTCTTTCCAACCAGCTGTTAAGATTGTTTCGAAACAGAGATGGCTCGATCGCTCTTTTTTCCCTCAGTCACACGTGTGCTGGCAAATCTGGACAAAAGAAGCCAAATGACTGAAGGAAATCGCGCACAGCCAAATTCTGCTGTGCAACACATTGTAAATCAATAACAGGCGTCATTATCTAAAAATGCCCAAATATGCGATTAAGTAGCACCAGCATAGCTGCTAGGTAGCAGAAACTCAATAAAATTTACACTGCTTTTTTTTTTTTTTTTTTTTTGGGGGGGGGGGGGGGGGGGGGGGGGGGGGGGTGAAATGGAGGGGGGGGGGGGTATCCCGGGGGAATGGAAACATTGTACTAGGTCTTCAGAAAATATCTTGAGAGGTAAAAAAAGAAAGTGTCCCTAACTGTGCCAATATGTCTATTTTCATTTACCTATTTTTATATTCCCATTTTTCTTCTTCATTTAATATTACCAGAAAATTTTGAAGTGAAAAAAGGGCACCTAAAATGTGATGAAACATCTGTTTTTGTCGCTTCGTCATGCAATTATTTTTGGGTGCCACCCCTCCAAACCCACCAAGAATTTTTACCTATGTGATTCACTGAATTCAACTTTTCCGTACTATGAATTAAGGAGGATTACCCATTGTAGGCCTACAGAATTGCAGCCAGGTTATTTCTCATCTCTCTCTCTCTCTCTCTCCTTTTTACTTTAAAGGGGAAGTCCACCCTGAAATTAAGTTAGTTTTAATAGGAGTAGAAAAATGAGAGAAACAAGTCAGTGAAAGTTTGAGCAAATTCCGATTAAAAATAAGGAAGTTAGGATTTTTTAAGTTGTGATCAATCAAACACAAATTGGCAACTCTATGACGTATCATGCGAGCTCAACTTCCATTTGCTCAGTACTAAAAAAATCTAAAATTTTCATTTTCCCTCAAGAAAAATTTCAACCATACATGCACCCTAAATATAATAATTGCAAATATGTTTCTATACTCCCCCTGCAAGGAACAAATATATATTCCGTCATCAATAACAAAGAAAACATGATTTTATGGAATATTATGCACAAAGCAAATGAAGGAGAGCTCGTATAATAAGTCACAGAGTTGCCAATTTGTATTTGATTGATCACAACTTCAATAATTCATAACTTTCTTATTTTCATTCAGAATTTGCTCAAACTTTCACTCACCTGATTTTCTTATTATTCTGCCTCTATCGAAACAAACTTATTTAAGGGGTGGACTTTCCCTTTAACTCGCTCTCTCCCTCTCAAATTATACTAACCCATACAAAATATACAAATTCACAGTTAACTCACACTATTAACTTCTATGCACAACAGGACACAATGTAATTTCTCAGCCCCTCCCCCCACAACAACAGCAAATAAAATAATAATAACATAATAATAATACGTAAAGAAAGGGAAAAAAGTAATTGAAATTAAACCAAACCCGAAAATAAAAACATCAATGAATTATTGTATAAAGCTGATATCTGATGGTGAAGGTAATTTACTTTTAATTTCAATGTCAAATTCAGTGAGGCCGTGAGCATATCATTAATAAGATAGGTAGGGCAATCAGTGAAATGATGCAGGGCACTCTTGCAAAGTCACCCTTTCAGCCCCCAAAGGATTTTTCTAGTACAGCCAAAACCCGTCAAGAAAGGTCACCCAAGGGAAAGAGAGAACATGACCATTATATGTAGACAAGTGGTCTTTATAGCTGGACAGTTTCTATTTCTATATCTGCAACACTCATTTTGTCTGGAGGCCAAATACATGACCACTATAGACAGGTGGCCTTTATACAGAGGTGGTTACTAAGACAATTTTAACTCGTTTGACAGGCTTTATTATGTTCATTAAAGCAAAATTCAATATTACTAATATTTTTTTCTTCTACTCATTAACTTGGCTGTAATACAGAGAACTACTAAATGAGGCTGTTCAGGCCGGAAAGTTTTGCAACTGAACAAAAGTACCCTGCATACTGTCTATCTGGTCGATTTGTGCCACTCGTTTATATATTTGTAAATGTTCATACGATGAAACAAAGTGAGAAAAAGTAGGTCATGGATACTATGGAGAAACACTTTTCTTACAAATTTAATTCAACAAAATGCAATTACATTGCAGAAATAAAAATCTACATCATATGGTACTTGAAGGCAATGTTTTACTACATGATTATTCAAGAAATGATTCAAAGTCAGTCTAAAGATATTTTTGAACAATTTAACAACTAGAGATGATCTGTTTGACTTTAAAAAGAATTAAAAGCCGTACTAATAATTTCCCAGGGCCACATTGTATTCATCATGGGGTAGATATATAGGCTTCATGGTTATTTTAATGTTTCCAGTGCAATATTAATCTATACCAATATTAAAAGGGTTGTCATTGAGCTAATCAAGACGAGAAATGGGTAAGTTTGCATTTAAAACTTCTATTTAAGAATCAAAAAAGGAGAAAAGCATTAGAAAAGGATGTGAAATAAAAATTGCATGACTATTGCATGTGTGGGCATTACTTCAATGTTTCAACACAAAATTGATTACCATAATAGTCCTTTACAAGAAACAGATGTACTGTATAGTCTGGATTAATAGAGTTATCATGACTGCCTTTTAACCTCTGTATAGAGGGGCAATGTAAGCAAAAACTAAACCTGCACATATGATGATTCATTTGACATGAAGTCACAATTAAGTGCAGGCCATGTAAGTACATCAATAACAATTATCCAAAACATTAAAGCTCATATCAAGAAACATGATGATGATGATGATGATGATGATGATGATGATGATGATGATGATGATGTTGATGATGGTTATGGGGATGATATTGATGATGATGATGATGATGATGATGGTGATGATGATGATGGTGGTGATGATGATGGTGATGATGATGATGGTGATGATGATGACAATAATAATAATAATAATATTTAATTTTTATATAGCGCTTAATACAAATGTCTCTAAGCACTTTACAAATAGACTATTACCCAGGTCATTGGATTCAGTGCTTGCCCGCACACACTGTGTGCACAATCTCCACTCCCTGGGGAGCATTCCAGCCAGGCGTTACTTGACACTCACAAGCTGTTTGACCAAAAATGACAGCCGCATCCTACCGGGTACCCATTTGACACCTGGGTGGAGAGTAGCAAGTGCAGGTTAATATCTTGCCAAAGGATACTAGTGCCGTGTCGGGATTCGAACCCTCGACCTTCGCATCTCCAGTCAAGCGCCTTAAACCACTCGACCACGACACTGCCAATGATGATGATGATGATGATGGCCATAGATAATAATGATAATAATGATGATGATGATGATAATGGTAATGATTATGACCCTCCCTCATCATACTGTATCTCCCTTAAACATTTGCAGTCCAATTTCATCAGTCAACCTCTGATTCCCATTCTACACCCATGCATGATGTAGGAAGATTTCTTCATCATGCATCCAAGCCTTCACTCACTTTGACACATATTTGCAGATTTATCTTTGACCTGAGTTGTTCTTTCTCAAGCACCGCTCCTGTCTACAACATGTGTGATGTAAGTCCACGGTAAGGTTATTTCTTTGACTAATCTTCACTCTACACACATATTTGTCTTCAGGTCCAGCTGTTCACTTTTGTAAGCACTGCTCTTCTGTGGCATGGAGAGTGCTAAAGATGTATCTTGGCCACATATCAATATCTTCAACCGCTCTACCTTGGCGTCCACACACAGCTGGCAGTTCAATCTTTGGCACTATCTATCCGCTTTGACTTCCGAGGAGCGTTCTTCTTGCATGGCACTTAGGATGTAAGAGTACCTCTCCCTCACACATCCACACCTTCAGGCATAACCTTAACTTTCTTCATAGGTTTAGAGTATGAACTCATGAACACAAGCTGTTCGTTTGTACTTGTGAACCAGTCTTTCTCTTCTTCATCATGGAGAGCGTAACATCCATCTCTAGGTCATGTGTCCATGTCTTCAGGTGCTGCGGCGGCTTCACCCAGGGGTTTGGAGTCCTCCTGCATGTACTTCTCCTGGACACTAGCCGTTCTGAAGGTGATATGCGGGTTAAGGAAACATGGTATACTCCCAACACAGAATCATTATCATTTAAACTACATCATTGTTGTATAGGAAACGAGGCAAACCCTGTTTCAGTCACGGATGGATATTGATACCTCATGATAGTGTTACTATTTGGACCTCCCCTCCGTCTATTCTCTTACTATCCCCACTTGAAGCTTTTTCTTCTTCCTCCTTCTTTTCTACTTTTTCCACTTCTTCTTCCTCTTCATCTTCTTTTTAATCTTACCATCTTACCATCCTCTTTTCTTTTCTTTCTTAACTTTACACCATCATCATATTCTTCTTCACTTTTCTTTATCTCTTTTTTACAAAATGACTTAGGGAGATCAAATAAGAAATAAGAATTTTAAAGTAAAATATTATTTTATACAATTTTCTCGTTCACGTTCAGTTCATTAATTTTTATGTCAACTGTTATGAACGTTTTTATAATTGTATTGTACATTTGTAAAACATTGCCCAATTTGGCCGTTTAGGCCGTGACGCATTGTTAATCTTTTATTCTCAATAAAACCATTATCAATCCATTCAATCATACCGACTCCAGACGCACTGATTTTGGGGCCAATTAGGGTAACGTCGGTCTTGTTGGTGTAACTGGGGTATCAGCTACCTCGCGATGTGTGAAAATAAAGGATACTTGAAGAATTCAAAGTCCGCACCCACTGCACATGACATCAAGGTCTTGAGATTCCTCTCTTCAAGATCCCCAAAGGCATAGCCATTGGCTTTGTCTATTGTCTTGACGGCGGTCAATACACTGTCCTTGTCCTGTCAACCATGGGAAATAAATAGCAAAGAATTCATTATGTCTCAAATCATTATCCTAACCTAACAATGATGGTGAATGTTAAAGATGTTCATGCGTGGGGTATATAGTCATTCGTGAAGTAGGCAACTTGGCGATCACTACATAACACTGAGCCTATGGGTATTACGCTCCAGTGCATACGTCCGTGTGCTGCCCTCTATATACCCACGTTTGAACAACTTTAAAGCAAAAGTAAAGGAAGTGCTTGAAAGGGAAAGACAGCTAGAAGACTCAGCAATTGATTAATTGATTTTAACAACATTTCCTTTTCAAATATTCATCTCATAGAGAATTTTCACTTTTGTATTTCTTGTTGCACTTTCATACAGATTTTTAAAAATTGAATTTGCATTAAACATTAATTGCTTTCTGCAAGTACAAGTTAAGGACAAATATGAATTGTGAAGTTTAGTACACTTCAATATGCTTTAAAATAAAATATGGTAAAGCCCAATGACATGAGAACAAGCTTTTAATATAGGATTCCCAATAACTGTCACATTATGAAACAGCCAATCGGGTACCGGTACTTACTTGAATGTTGAGGGGGATGAAAGAAACAAGACTGTAGTCTTCCACCAGACCAATGAGGGCCTCATTCAGCTTCTTGAATTTCTTGAGGAATGGGTCTTCTTCTAGATGTGACAGGAGATGGCCCAGGTCTAGGACCTCGGTAAAGTAGTCCAGGTTGAAGGCTGAAACAAATAAAAATGATACCATGTGATACCAATAAATGATAATACAGTGGAACCTCTATAATTATAAAGATCACCAAATGAGAAACAACAAGAGCAGGTGGGCTCGAGGTAAAGGTGCCCTTACTACGAGTTACAATGACATTTATACCACCTGCATTTTTACCTCTGCCAACTCTGACATTTTTACCTGGCGACGTATACAGATGGTTGCTAAAGCACACTGGACTGTAGAACTTTTGTGACACTATGTATGATTAATCATTTGATAAACTGTGACGTTCTGGCACATAACTTGCAAATGGTGGCACCACAGGCAAAGACAAACAAAATTATAATTAAGCCTAATGCTAGAGCTCTTGCTTTCTTACAGGGGTCCAGGGGGGGGGGATTTATAGGGTCTATGTGCATGTGGACTCCGCTGACAGGTCCTTTCGGGGGGGGGGGGGGAGGGTTGAAGTGTTATAAATGTACAATAAAATGTAAAATAAAGAAATATGACAAAAGTATTCTAGGGACTTGCTTAAATTACACATGAGCTCTCAGGAAAAGATAGAAATGAGGTGAAATGGAGGAAAATGAAACCGTAAATATGCCTTTCTTGTACAATAATATTGGATATCTACATGTATATAGCGCACATATCCACGATGCATGGTGCTCAAGGCTCTCCAACTGTTACACCGGCTCTGCTAGGCAGCCAATTTTGGTGCTCACAGCATTCAAGGAATTCCTTCCTACCGGACTGGTACCCATTTATCACTTGGGTGGAGATTGTCAAATGTAGATTAATATCTTGCCAAAGGACATTAGTGCCGTGGTGGGACTCAAACCGCGGACCCTGTGATCCACAGTCCAACGACTTGTCCACTAGACCACAACACCTCTTGTAGTGCACATTAGGATAAAACGTTGTCTCTAAGCGCTTCCAAGGGAATTTGGATATTGCTGCTCTGATAACTGTAGCGCTCAGTGCATACAAGGGATCCATCCTACCAGGGAATATCAGTTGATGAAAGCTAGAGACCTTACCTAATCTTCCGTACTGTTCCACAAGGTCTATCTTAGAGAGGAGATTGACATGAGGAAGCTCCATCTGAAGCATGGTGGAGAGAGACGTTAGGAGAACGCCGATGAACTTGGCCGGATCGCTGCAGTAGTGGGCGTCTACCAGATGGACGGAAACCAACTGTGAGTAAAAAAGATTGGGATGGAGATGATGCTCAGTCAGATATAACACAATAAACTACTTCATTTGAGAAAAAAATGTAAATGAATGAAAATGGCATGTAAGAAAGAAAAATGTTACCTAAAATTCATTGATAGGTAGGAACTAGGATTCAACACTGTGTCAAAGAGCAAATACCCTCAAATCTCAAGTCTTTCTATCTAGAGAATACCTGTATACTACATGTAGCAGAGCCTTATTTATTTTTGACTTTTTTTTTACATTCTTGGACAAAAGCTAGATTATAGAATCCATTAGTACCTTTCGACAGGCTTTCATAGCTATTATGACATAAATCCATACCTAAGACAGACAGCAACTCATATCTTGAAGCAAGCTAATCTGATTATTTATGATGTATTCCAATCATTTCAATCATTTCAACAAAATAATATAAATCCAGCTGGTTGCCTGGAACTGATCAAATGTCCGATGGCATTATACTGTTACAAAGCTGTACACAGTCACCAACAATCTTAAATCTAAATCATGAATAAAATCATTAAAATGCCTACTTCAGTAATACTTTAAACTTTAACACAACATTGAAAAAGGATTGATACATCATTTGCATTCTTTCTAAACTGAAAAAATTTGCACCTTAAAGTTCAATTTCTGGAGCTGGGTAACGATGTTCCTCACAGAGTTGTGATGCGTGTAGAGCTCAACCTGACCGGGGCAGTCAAAGAGAAAGTAATGGTCCTTGAATTTATCGAGCTGGCCTTTCAACCAGTCCAGGTTCTTCTCCAAGTACTCCATACAATAGACCAGGCCTCCGTTGGGCCCCAGACGGAGCTTCTCCATGACGTCCGAGAGGGTGACCAGGTCTGAGATGTCCACTCCGACGTCGTAAGGGAGGAAATCGTTGGCCGGGTCCAGGTTAACGATGGTGACCTTGCGTCCAGTCTGAGAGAGGAATTCTTTCATCCCTTTGCAGTAAGTGGTCTTGCCCGATCCTGGAGGACCAATCACTACTTGTGCAAAGGCCATCTTCTAACTGTTCTTTTTATTCAAATCTGTATTAAAGAGAAATACATTGTTTCGTCGATTCAACCGGCGAAGAGAAAGTATGCACTACCACGCATGCGTACTTAGTGCGTACTTTCTCTTCGCCGGTTGAATCGACAAAAGAACATGGAAGAATCGTCAGGGTAGGACAAAGAATCACCCTTTTTCCATCAAAGACTTCTTCAAATTATAATTTCAAGATGATGGATAGATGCCGAGAGGAGTCGAGCAACCTAGTAAGTAAGTCAAAGTTGTAAATACTCCCTTTGCATATTTTAAGATAATGTCGCCCAACCCGCTGTTAGAATGTTTTTCGATGCACCACCCGAAGCTCCGACGCCTTCGGCATCGGCATCGGCGTCGGAGCTTCCCGAATTGGGGATGCGTGTAATGTCTATCTATGGCCCTGGGAAGGGTTTTGGCAGACAAAACGAGTGTGCGATCAGACACCCTAGACATGCTAGATCTACATTTAATGAAAGGAAAATATTATTTCATCTCTATTATTTGTACTCTTAGTCCGCTCAGCTTTTCATTGATTCATAGTCGCATTTTCATAGGATAAAGTCTTTAAAGGTACTATGTCCCATTTGCAGGCGAAAAAAATGAAAAAGTTTAATTCCAACTGCATTTGAAAGTAGGGAGGCCAATGCCCGGGCGTAAGGCTTCTACACCTACGATTTGTGCGCTCGTCGCCCACTTCAAAAAATTAGCAAAGGGAAAAAAATGATGTAAAAATAAAAATTGAAGAAAATATGAAAAGAAAATACAATTATACATTTCACAACATACCTATAATCACGGATCTGTAACAGTCTTTCACCATTTGTTGACAATCTTGCAGATTTTGACGTTTTTTATCCAATAATTGTGGTTGCAGACGACCTTGACGCACTCGCACCACCGACTAAGAAAATCCTAGAGGGCGTAGAGGTTTGCTCACTAAAAACCTTCTCATTGGCAGAAGGTAGACCCTAAAAATATGGGATCCGTTTTGAGTAAAGAACTTTTGATAGAGATCAACATTTCAGATGTTCACAATTGCCACTTCTAACAACTAGAAAATATAAAGAAAAAAGATTATATCTTTTTAAATACAGATTTTACAAACTGAACATTCGAAAGTAGATAGAGTACGATGTTTCTGTCAATCTTGCGTTGGTTTGAGCCCTAAAGCTACATCCATCTCAAAATGAGAAGGAAAACAGTGAACAGTGACGTCATTGTTCGCGCCAAAAATAAAGGGAATTGCGACATAATCTGAGCTCCGGTCAGATCGTGCGCAAAGCGTAGTCTTATTTATAGACCCTAGTACCTTATTCTCACAGCACTAGATACGAGTGTCGTGCAGTAATGTATGAGAAGTGTTAAAAAAGATATTTCAGTAAAAAAAAAAGTCTACGTGAGCAGTCTATACTCCAATTGAGAATTGAAATGAAAGCCATGATTTGAAGGTGTGTGTGTTGTATGATACATGGTTAGTGAGTGTGTATGTTACGTATAGCGAAAGGGAGAGAGAGAGAGAGAGAGTGAGAGAAATATTAGTACACGTACGTTGCATGCATGGATGTGCGCTATGATTGTGTTCGCTGCAAGATGGATTTTAATTGGACCTCGTAACTTCTCGATCGTTGATAATAAGGAATACTCATGAGGAAATCAAAGTATTGGAATACACATCTAAGGTAAATATCAATGAATTATATATATTTCTTTCCTTTTTTGAACCATCGTCTTCGGCTCGTAGTAGTAGAAGATGTAATCGTTCGCACATTGATGGCTGGACTTCAGCCTGCATCGGGGCTTGCCTGTGTCGGTGGAGGGATCAAGAAGAAGAAGGTGTGTACGTGTGCGACCGATTCAAGGCTAGCCGCTGTTGAGTGATTGCACTTTCGCGCGAAGTTTTAAACTTCATCATGAACTTTGTCCCTCGGGCCTGTCTAATTATGAACGTAACTTTGCGACATGAAATATAATTGTTTCAAGGCTCTTACGTACGGAAAGGCGTAGAAGGAAATGGCTACAAACCAGCTGGATATCTCCTATTTGATGGAACCTATGGAGTCGGCAGATGGGTGGATTTTCTTAGTGAAAGTAAATGCTTTCTTTTAATCTTAGTTTTAGTATAAACAAATTAGTAATTAAAAAGTTAGATTTGGGCATTGGCCTCCCTATTGAAAGATAATACTAATTTAGAACTTCCCTAAAAAAGGTGGGGCTTGAAAATGTCTTCAAGTGGGAAAATAACGACTATCAGTTGTCAAATCGACTTTAGGGCTATAGATTCTAGAGCCCAAAAGTAATAGTCTTGATTTTCAGACAATTGTACCGAATGGTCATACGTTTTATGCTGCGCAAAGATTCAATCAGTTTAATCTTGGCCATCACAAGAAGTGGGTTATTGATGTAGACAAATGCTCATGTACCCTTTACAACTCTTTTCATGTATGTATTACCAAAGAAGAAAAAAGCCAGTCAGTCACTCAATAGTGTCTGACAGTGAAGTCTAGCAAGTAAACGGGTTTCCTTGCATAGACTCTAAGTCTAATTTGAATATAAGGACACTGCTAACGTTTAAATTCCACAGATAGGACATACATGACATATTTATAATTCCTGCAAAGTTCTACAGCATTTGAGGTTGGCTGCAAAAGGGACATAGTACCTTTAACAGTGAGATATTCGCGTACAGACTAGTAGATCTACAGATAGTACAGGTACGTACTGTACGAATGACTTGACCGAGCATGAGGAGCTGACTACCCCGCCAGCTCTGGCGAAGATCAAAGAGCCATATGCCTCTGCGCCTCCCTCCTTGTTTTTGCCGAGATGGGGCATGCAGCGAGGGGCAGCGAGCAGAGACCAAAGGATCTAATGCGAAATTTCGATGCAGTAGTTTGAAAAATACTTATTCATCAATTCTACAACCAATTGTCTACAAAACTAACTGGACGTGATTAATAAATAAATACTCAATAAAAATTGTACCTCTCAATTGCAATCCAAGATCAGGATCACACTCATGTTCGTGCGGCCACAGTGCAAGCAGACAAAATGTGATCGATCATGGGCAAAAATAGATCAGCAAAATAGACTTTCCATCCAGGATTTTCAGCAAGGTTGATTTAGTTTGCAAGAATGCTAGTTCCTTATACACGTAGGCCCAAAGGGCATTATTATGTCCCTGGCTTTCTTCTGCTTTATAAGCAGGGGCGCCTCCAAATTGCATTCACTTTGCATTACGATTTTCCTCACTACCGTCACTTCGTGAAAACAAGGACGAATTTATCAACATTTACCGGCCGGGAGCACCGGTAAATTTTTATATTCAATTTTTCTCGAAAACAGAAGTGTTTTAAGGGCTAAATTTTCTAGTGCTTATAAAACATCCACAGGGGCATCCAAATAAATCAAAATTGTAAAAAAAAATCACTATCCACCCAATTTTCAAAATTTCCCAAAACTTTGTATTACCTTTAAGGAAACTTCAAGGCTTCCGCGCTTTGCGCAGGAGGATTCAGACAAATTAGGGTTAAGAGTCGCGAACGGTACAACGAATCGTCTGTTTTCTCTAATAGTTTAGCGAAACGTCGAAGCCTCTGCGCTTCGCGCGAGAGGGGGAACTGAATTCAGGCAAATAGGGCTTATTAAGAGTCGAAAACGGTATTACGAATCGTCTTCTTTCTCCAATAATTTAAGGAAATGTTAAAGCTTCGCGCGAGAGGGGGAAACTAAATTCAGATAAATAAGTAGGGCTTAATAAGAGTCGAAAACGGTGCAACGATTCGTCTTCTTTTTATAATATTAAATCAAACGTCTAAGCTTTTCTCGCGGGAAGGGGGAAACTGAATTCAGACAAGGATTAAGAGTCGAAAACGGTACAACGAATCGTCTGCTTTCTCTAATAATTTTAGGAAACGTCAAACCTTCCGCGCTTCGCTAATGGGGGAAACTGAATTCAGACAATTAGGGCTTATTAAGAGTAAAAAACGATACAACGAATCGCCTTTTTTCTCTAATAATTTATTAAACCGTCAAAACTTCCGCTTCGCGTGGGAGGGGGAGAAGTGAATTCAGATAAGGATTAAGAGTCGAGAACAGTACAAAGAACTGTCTGCTTTTTCTCATAATTTAATGAAACGCCAAAACTTCCGCGCTCCGCGCGGGAGGGGAGAAACTAAATTCAGACAAGGATTAAGAGCCGCGAGCAGGGTTCAACGAATCGTCTACTTTCTCTAATAATTTAATGAAATGCCAAAACTTCCGCGCTTTGCGCGGGAGGGGGAGAACTGAATTCAGATAAGGATTAAGAGTCGAGAACAGTACACCGAATCGTCTGCTTTTTCTCATAATTTAATGAAACGTCAAAGCTTTCGCGCTTTGCGCGGGAGGGGAGAAACTGAATTCAGATAACGTTTAACAGTCGAGAACGGTACAGCAAATCGTCTTCTTTTTATAATAAATCAAGGAAACGTCTAAGCTTCCGCGCTTCACGCGGGAGGCCTATCACCCACTTCCCTAATGATTCGCTTGCTCACTACCGCCCCTCCCTAAAATAAGATCACTGCATTAAAATATATAGCTATGATGCTGACTAAGTTTACTAAATAATTCGTATATTTTTGTTGGTAATTGGTGGCTAGTTTTGTCGGTAATCGTTGGCCTCTACACCCACCCCCCCCCCCCCCCACTGAAAAAGGTCTAGCGACGCCCCTGTTTGCAAGCAGCATACTAAATGTTATCCTACTCTTTGTTTTACCACCAAAATAAGACCTTCAATGCCCCCGTCTATTTCTAATAAGGGCCCATTTATCCTTCATGTAAGTGCGTTTTCAGTCAACTCTGATAAGTGCCCTATATTCATATTGAAGAGAGCAACTTTTACTTTGGCGGCCTAAAAAAGAAAGAAATGAAAAAACGCGTTAGCTTAGAAAGATATTATGTTGGCATCTAATCCAGTTGTTCGTATGCATGTCAAGCGGAATGTATATGGGTATGGTGAATTAAATATATTTGATTTACTTTTATTTATGGTGGGCCCTATCTTATAAGCTATCGTTGCCTTTTTTGTGGTCTTGACCACATATTTGCTTTGCCTATGCTTTGTGTTTTGTATTCTATTTTCTTTTGGATGTTTTGCATTGATATGTATTTGGTAAATAATTTCAATTCAATATAAAAAAATAATAATTTAAAGTTCAAGTCTTGTTTGTTATTTTCTTAACTTAATCGTTTACATTCCTGTTTATCTTACTACTGTATACTGTTTGTATATATCTATTTTCTATAATATTATTATATTGTCACTTTATCTATTTTAAACTATTAATATATTCTGACTTTGTAACACCATGCAAGTCTACTATGACATTATTATTACTATTATTTATAAATATTGTTAATATATATATACTTTTCTCATTTTGTCTTCTTCTTTTCTTTATTTTCTCTCTAAAAAAAGGGGGAAGACAAGAGAAAACGGGGAAGAAAGGAAAAGGAAGCAATTGCAATGCACCCACGTGATCACTAGGATTTACCAAGAGAGTTTTGTTGCTAAATCTTTTTTTCCCTTTTTTTTTCACGAGGCAGCCATCCATTTCCAGCCTAACCGCTAATATGGCTTAGCGTCAAATTTATCGATTATCGTCAGTACAAGCACCATTTTGGTACACTAGGGCTTCCTTAGGAAATACTGAACAATATAAGGGTAGGAGCCCCCGGCAAAAAAAATCAAATAGGGGTGTGGTGGGCGGGGGCGTCGTCCCGGAGCCCCCAAATAATAGATAAGGTGAAATAACATTGAAATGTTGTTGTACAAAGGCAAATTTTGGTGCAGGGTTTCTTTAGGACCTTCTGAACATTGTAAGGGTTAGAGGCCCACAAACCGAATATTTATAAAGCTGCGATTTAGGTTTTAATTTTACTGAGCCAAATGGATACTTGTTTATTTTACTTTAGCTTAATTTCAACTCTGTTATGCTTTCAGCGCACTAACATTCAGTCTCTCATGTCTGCTAGCTATTGGCTTCTATTGTCCTGTCCCTATTCATTCATCCTCATGCACATTACCTGCTATAGCACCACACACACACACACTCTTCCTATCTCTTGGCTATTCTACCCAGCACACTATAGGCACATGGCACTCTATCTTTCCTCAGACTTTCTATTGGTTACCTACTTCTTGTCCAATGTTGTGATTGGTTATTAGGGACTTTTAGATTTGCACGTCGACATAGTGGACTGCTACCAGCAGGCTCGTAGCCAGGGGCGGTGGGGCGGTCGCCCCCCCCAAAAAAAAAAAACGCCCCCCAAAAAAAGGGAGAAAAAGAAGAAAGGAAGAGGACGTAGGAAGAAAAAGGATTAAGAGTCGAGAACGGTACAACGAATCGTCTTCTTTCTCTAATAATTTAATGAATCCTCAAAGCTTCCGCGCCTCGCGCGGGTGTGGGGGGGGGGGGGGGGGGACTGGATTCAGATAAGGATTAAGAGTTGAGAACGGTACAACGAATCGTCTTCTCTCTCTAATAATTTATGAAACGTTAAAGCTTCTGCGCTTCGCGCGGGAGCGGGGAAACTGACTTTAAACAAGGATTTCGAGTCGAGAACGGTAAAACGTATCGTCTTCTTTCTCTAATAATTTAAGAAACGTCTTTCGCGCGGGAGGGGGGGGGGGGGGGGGACCCGAATTCAGACAAGGATTTAGAGTCGATCGGGAATGGTACAACGAATCGTCTTCTTTCTTTAATAATCTAATGAAACGTCAGAGTTTCCGCGCTACGCGCGGAGGAAGGGGAACTAATTGATTCAAACAAGGATTAAGAGTCGAGGACGGTACAACGAATCGTCTTCTTCTCTAATGAAACGTCAACAGAAACTGAATTTAGATAAGGATTAAGAGTCGAGAACGGTCAAACGAATCCTCTTCTTTCTCTAATAATTTAATGAAACGTCAAAAACTCCCCCTCCTGCACCCCCCCCCCCCCCCCTAGGGAGCGTGATTCGCACGCCTTGCGCGCTCACTACCGTCCCCTAAAATGAAATCCTGGCTACGCGCTTAATTGGCTACGTGCAGGGGCGTACGCAGGGGGGGGGGGGGGGTTGGGGGTTCAAACCCCTCCTTTGGTATTTTTATGTGTGTAAACCCCCCTAAAAAAAACTAAACCCCCCCTTTTTTTTTTTTTTTTTTTTTTTTTTATAAAGTGTCCGCTTACCCCCCCCCCCCCCCCCCCCCCCCCCCCTTGAAAAAATCCTGCGTACGCCCCTGGCTACGTGTGATGTCCATTTGTGCCTTGAAAGTACGTCACACGTAGCAGTCCACTATGTCGACGTGCAAATCTAAAAGTCCCTAATATTGTTTCATGGACTGCTCGCAGCCATTTTATAGATGTATTAAAACATATAGCAGTGCAGCTCAAGTCATCAAACATGTAAGACTAGTTTTGTTTTGTATGGGTCTTTACAATATTTGTATTGTAGGCCTACCATGAATAAATGATAAATGAAATAAAAAAAATATTGTGGTAAAGGTTAAAAACACAACTTTATTTTCACCCTTTTAAATCAGGCCAGGGCGAACCAGTTTGTTAAACGGTTGACCTCAAAACGCAATATTTCTTACATTTTATTTTTTTTTAAATTGTTGTTGTTGTTTTGTTTCTTGTTACTACTTTAATGTTTGATTTAAAAATGTATTCATTGTTATATATTTGTCCTCATTTGCTATGTTATCATTATATATATGTACATATGTTTTTGAATGCTTTTTATTTTGATGTAAACTTGCATTTTTAGTCTTCGGACTTGTTGACAAGTAATGAATACAACCTTATTTGAACTTGAACTTGAACGCAAACAATTTACACTGGAACTTTGCTCTGTGACCTTGGCTTGAGATAGATTGGAGTAACGTGTTGTCAGTAGGCCACATATATACGCAATTCAGCTTTGAATATATCTAGGAATAACAACAATGGCAGATAAATACGCCAACGAAACAGCGGAAGATTTTTCTTCCCGACTCTTTGGCTTCATTAGTGGAGGATTTACTGGACTTTCGATCGCATTAGGCGTCAAGAGTGGTCTTTTCGCCGTCCTCGTCGATCACCATGACAAACCATTGACTTCGCAAGAGCTTGCTGATGCAGCTGGGTTGAAAGAAAGGTAAGTCATGGTCAATGGCGGCTTGCGGTATGATGAGTGAATGAACGGTGATGCCGATTGCACACGCAGAAATGAACCTGTACATTATTTACTTAGACTGGGGTGATCACAATGCCTGTGCACACAGTCTGCCCCGCGAACACACACACACAACAGCAGTCAGTTGGTAGAAATAGCAATTTTTGTAAATTTATTTAAAAAAAAACTAAACAATATTTTAAATTTTTTATTTCACACATATTTCAAGCATACCTTTAAATACAATTCTGTGTAGTTTCATTGTTATAGGCATGTGGGAAATATGTTAAATTATTAATTAGAATATTGTCTGTTCAGCCATGTGGCCCGCTGATCGCCCATTGACTTGCACTGTTGTTATTCTGCGTGCTGAAAATGCACCTCAATTTATAAAACTCCCTTACAAAAATGCAATATCCTCATGTGCTTCACTCATTGAATCAATTTGTTATTTGCACTCAAGGTAGCCACAACTATACTGGCGTCACCAAACTTGTTTTTACTCTGAAATTCAGTCCCTGTAGAATGTTATGGCCTGATGTTGAAGTGGAATGTTATGGCCTGTTGAATGGTTTCTTGGAAAAAACGTCATAAATTCTCAAATCTGACATCTTTTAAAAAGAAAAATATACTGTGATTGTAGCTGAAAGCCTGCAGATTCTTATCATATGATCGGTTTTTCTAAATAATTTGTGAAACACATGAGGAAATAGCTGTAACGGTGATCCAAGTAATTTCCATCGCCATATTTCATTGGCATTGCAAAAATATTTGGAATTTAAGGTTAATACTTTGTGTAAATATGATCTATGAATATATATGATTTAAAAAATGCGCCCAAAATAAACATTTTGACTTTCCTAATTTGCATAATGAGTGAGCGAATATATAATTAGCTGAAATGACCTAATTTGCATATTTGATGAATATTCGTGATTTTTTAAATTTCAAATAAAATATATTTCCATACCTGTCTGATATACATAGGTTTCACTGATGTATCATGTTCGGTTTTGATTTGATTACATATGCGCATATTAATTAGGCGGACTTAGTTATTTTCCCAACTTTTTCATAATCTGCAGATTCGCAAAAATGGCAAAAGTGACTTATTTTGTTGGCTTCTGTTTCCAAAACGGTGATAGATATATCAATTAGTAGGCGGCTTTCCGGCAAAATCTGTGTCATCACGTTTAGTCAAAACATATTATTTCACATGACGGGTAATAAGAGCTTCCATTTATTTTTTAGAGGGGGGGGGGGGGGGGGGGCGTTTCCAAAGCTGGACTATGCCTTGAACAGTCGATAGTCACACACCGGTCACACATCTGTGTAGCAAAATGCAGATGTCAAATCAATAAAATGCTTATGATAAGATTTTTCATGAAGATTTATTCTTGTTGTGATTTTTTCTTCGTATCTGATGATTAAGACATTCATAGTTGACGAACTTCTTTTTGGATAACGTCTTTCGGATGGTGACGTTAAAGGTCGGTCCCCAGACGTACATAAAATGATTGACATTAACGCCACTCTGCAAAAAACCCAATTACACACGTTGTTATCAAGAAGATCTATTGTCATACCTCGGCAGGCGCACCGGAAGCAGTTTGGGATGGGGGGGGGGGGGGGGGGGGGGGCAAACATTCCAGGGGGCTCACCTTTCAGGGGCAGTGGCGTAATGAGCAAAAACGTTTAGGGAGCAGAAGAAATATCTGCACCACCATCACTCTTTCATGTTATATGCAGCCCCCGCGAAACGCTTATCAAAATGGGAGTATTAACGATCAGGTAGAGCCTAAATTTGCGTGGGGTCCAGAGACGGAGTCCCCGGGAGCTCAGGGTTTTTAGGCATTAAATTACGGTCAGATAAGCATATTTTGATACCTCATTTGCGACATGCACTGGCAGGTAACTCATTCCTTTTTTCTCTCTTCTTTCTTTCTTTCTCTCTTTCTTTCTTTTTCTCTTTAACATACTTGTTCAAAAAACTGAAAGGGGACTCGAGTTCTGCAGGCCCTGACATGAAGGCTCCTAAATAAGCATATTTTTTGCCTAACTGTAAATTTGGGAATTTGTAATTTCCAACAAACGTTATAACAATTTGGCAACCGCTCCAACATGCCAGTCGGTCAATGCATACGCACCAGCTTGCATGTCTTTCTTCCCCCTCCCCCACCCCCTCTCTCTCTCTCTCTCTCTCTCATAACATTCGGAGTGGTACGCAAGGCTTGCTTGTTGTTGAAATGTACAACCTTTTCTATAATTTCTTTCATGACAGGTATGTTCGAGAATGGCTGGGCGTGATGACCACGGCCTTCATCGTCGATCTCGACCCTGTAACAGAGAGGTACCATCTACCAACGCATCGCGTCGACAGCTTTCGATCAGGGACGATGGCGGGTCAGGGGGCTGACTGCTCCATAGGAATACCCATCATTAGTGAGGTTTTCAACAAGATGCTCGAAGTCGTCAAGAAAGACGGACCAAGAGGTGATGAGTAATGCAACAGATTTTTCCTCGGGTTTTACAACGGCGACTATTAACCTAAATCTAGCCCAAAACACAATTGCTAACCCAACCATAACGTTACATTTGACGAAATAAAGCCTTTCCTAACAATTAATACAGTACCGAAGTGTAACGTCATACTGGCCGAGTTGTCAAGGTAGCTGGCTCGAAACAATTTTGTGCTAAACAGCAGCAAAAAACACTGAATTTGCCCTGCTCCAGCCCGTTGCTTCAATGATTTCGCGGTGAACCTCACGCGCAGGCTCTGTTGTTTGTAACCAGTAAACTGGACGATGAGAGAATATGACGTAGCACTTAGATACTGTAAACCGCGTGAGAAAATGTCGGGTCACTAAAATAACAATGTGTCGGAAACAGTAACTCTTGTGAACCACCATGACCACATGCAGGTGCCGATATAATGTGCTGGATTCTTTTTCCCATTTATTTATTTATTTATTTATTTATTTATTAATCTTTTGACAGGGTAGCCCATTCACCTACAAGTAGTGGTCTTCCATGGGGCCCTTCATAAACATGAACATATTTACATCGTTTATAACGTTTATACAAGCAGTTAAAAAAAAAATACTCATTTGCAAAATACACATATATCATTAGCCTAGTAAACAGTAATGTCAATAGGAAAATATTGATTAAGTCGCAATTATGTGAATAAGTCATGTTAATATTACAGAACATGCATGTAGTGTATGTTCGGCTGAGCTATTCACAGATTACAACTTTGTTTAAACAATCTCTTAAATGAATTGACAGAGGAAGCCGTTCTCAACGAATTATTTAGCTTATTCCATTCAAATATGGAAGAAACAATTGGGCTACACTTATAACAATCACTGTGAAATCTAGGCACACGTAAACATCCACTGTCTATTTGCCTGTTGGTGTTAAGCTAAGTTCTTAAAAATGTTTCAGGTGCTTATATTTTGCCAAGCAAGGTGTTTCATACACAACTGTCTCTCTCAACCCAGGGGTATTTAACGGACCACGATTGCAATCAATACTTAAAAACCCCACTTAAATTCAACTTCAAGTGCTCATCTTTTCAAATGTGCGAACACGACAATGAAATATTACGTAACATAGAGTCCGAACATGGGGTTGAAAATTGATTTCCTGAAATTCTTTGCGATCGTACCTAGCTGACAGAATGTATTACTTGATAGATACTTTCGCTCATCATCTTCTTGTTTTATGTTTTATTCCAGGTTTGACATTTTCAATGACGCCAAATTACACGAATTCAACGATAGTTATGGCCTGCCGTGGTTCAACCACTGCTTCGTTCAGGAGTTCATTCCATCTCAACCCGAGATCAAGGCAAGATTGGGTAAGAGGATCATTCCTAACTGTTCTCGCTGATTTATGATTGTGAGTTATGGCTTGATCCTATGGATACGGGGGGGGGGGGGGGGTGGGGAGGGGTCAGACCGTATTTGACGACGAGCTGAATTGTTTGGGTTTCAATCAACCCGATGTGTTTTCATAACAGTACCTAACCCGCCGAAGGACGGTATCTATACACTGACTTTCATTTCAATGTGAATTTTAGAAGGTAATTTGGATGTTCGATGTTGATAGTCCTATGTGTATCATCAATAATTTCAGAGAGAGGAATTCGGATGCTTGACGTCGGGTGTGGTCGCGGTGCTGCAATGAAAATGCTGGCCCAGAGTTTTCCCAACAGTCATTTCGTCGGTCTTGACATTGACCAGTGCAACGTGGATTGGGCCTATAAGGATGTAGCCACGCTTGGTCTGAAGAACCTTGAGTACGTCTGCGCCGACGCCTCTGCGATGCCTAACGACTGGACCTCGACTTTCGACTACGTTTTCTTCTTCAACCTCCTCCACGACACACCCCGACCTGACCTGATCATTGATGACGTCAAGAGAGTGATGAAGAAGGATGGAATCATGTCGGTGATCGAGCTGTATGCTGAATCGAAACACGCCGATAACCTTGGAGATCCGAACGCCTCGTTTAATTACACCGACAGCTTGTTTTACTGTCTGCGATGTCCAACAACCATCCTGGCTCCATGGCTCTAGGTGCGATGTGGGGCAAGGACAGCATAAAGAAGTTCCTGGAAGGGAAGGGTTTCAAAGTGAAAGCAGTCAGCACGCTCCCCATGATGCCACAACTTCACTTCCTGTCTGAATTAATGTAAATCAAAGCTTGCAAAAGAAAAGGTGTGGATGGGGTTCATATAAACGGGGTCAGTGGCGTACGCAGGATTTTTTCAAGGGGGGGGGGGGGGGGTTTAAAATCGGGTCCAAAATTTCGCAACGACTCAGGAAAATTTGAAAATCGCGCCGGTCAAAAAGTCGCTCAGTGGGGGGGGGGGGGGGGGGGGGGGGGGAGTCCAAAAAAAATCGCAACGACTCAGCCGGCCAAAAAGTCGCTCAGTGGGGGGGGGGGGGGGGGGGGGGGGGGGGGGGGTGTAAGCGGACACTTTTTTTTGGGGGGGGGGGGGAATCCAAAAAAAATCGCAACGACTCAGCCAGCCGAAAAGTCGCTCAGTGGGGGGGGGGGGGGGGGAGGGGTTTTAGGGGGGATTACACACATAAAAATACAAAAGGGGGGTTTAACCCCCCCTTTTAGATCCGCCACTGCAAACACCCCCTTGGCAAAAAAAAAAGGGGGGGGGGGTGGTTTCGAATATTAAAAACACCCTTATCTGTGTTTCAGGTATTTACAAATGGGGGGGGGGGGGAATGTTATTGATTCTTTTGTTTCCGTTTTGAGGTCGCCTTGGTCTAACACTATTTATACCTGTTCTTGTTGCTTGTTTATCGCGACAATATCTGAGATGTTCGGCCTACATTATTCCGCGCGAGTCGCTGACGTCGGTAGACATTCCTACTTCGTTCGCTTTAGTACGAGTGTGCAGAGGATGGCCGAAGATGGCATGCGCATGCGAATACATGCGCACCTGCACCGTTTACCGTTTTATACCTTATACTACATGTATTGAATATTGACTGATCATATTTGAAATCATATGTCTATGTGTGCACTGGAAAGCAGTCAATGTCTATTTTTGATACATGTACTTAGTAGTATTTTTTTCTTGAATAGTCCCTGGCGGAGTCAGCTCACCTGTCATTTTTTTAAATTTTATTGTAACAGTTGTAAAAAATGTATTGGTAGGGGATATTGAATTCCACGTCCGCCTCTTTTCCTCAAGGAGGCATTTGTTCCAGCTTATGAAAAATTTCTGCAGTTTTTTTTGGTGTGCTCTTTCCTCATGTGACACCTATTGATCGTAAAAAGAAAAAAACATCAGATTACTGAATACAAATAACTATAATACTTATCTGAAATAATATCTCTAGTGATATTCGTTTGAACACGCTTGCTAACAATACATTTTATCACCTGACGGAAGTGTTTTCAGCGGCGCACGAAACGTCGTGATTTTTAGATCCCTTGTTGACCATACATAATTGCGAGACAAACGAATATCACTAGAGATATTATTTCAGATACTGTATCCGCAATGAGTAATATAATTAGAATTATATTCCACATACTAAGAATCTTGCTCTACGATTGGTCAAAAGTAAGTCACGTGATGAAAGATAGATCGCCCATTATTGATGGGAGAAGCAAAAAGTTCTTTACACTGTGTAGATAGTACTACTATCTACACAGTGCAACGCACTTTTACTGAAGATAGAGGTACTATCTACAAAGGGTAACGCACTTTTACTGAAGATTATCCAAAAGCGCACTAAAAGAGACGTAATTAAGCGCGCATTACAGATACTGTAACAAACCAAGATATTGAAAAAGCCAGTGTAATCATAGGATTGTTTTCACAACATATTCTTGAAGAAAAGTGGGAGAAAGGAAATCTGTATGACTAAAATGATATTTCACACTTTGTATCTTGTTGAATTCAGAAATAGTATCCTAGCATAATTTTGTTCATTGCAGTTTGGAGCTATTAAATCCTACACCTATACTGCCACATCCGTTTCAAGCGTTGATCTAGTACTGTTGAGAAAATAATCAAATTCTTTGTTCACCTCTGACCGCTCGATCATTTGGTCTTAACACTAAAGCTGTCATCACCAGAAATCGTCAACAAACTTGGTTGGTACTGCATTTGAACATGATAAAATGATAAACTGGACATTTGACACTAGATTTTTACATGATGCATAGTACCAATCATAAAAACAGTCGCTGCTAGGTCGGACGAACCAGGGGATTGCTCGACCTAGCAGCAGCGTGACAATGATGTATACGAGCTGAGACATGCAAGGAATTGCGAGAGGACGAGAGAGAGAGAGTGATAGAGAAAGGAGAAGAGAAGTCATGATACAAAAGAATAAGTTATAAGAAGAGGAAATAGAGAAAGAGGGAAAGAGAGAGAATGAAACAGAGGGAAGTAAGAGAATATAAAAGAGATAAATTATTCAGAATTGAGAGAATAACAACAAATAATTTCACAAAATTGAGCCGGAAATGCATACGTAATCATATATTTAATGATAAAAGCCTACACCTCTTTCCCTTGCGGGAGCGAGGAAACTGTCAAAAAGAAACCAACATTATTTCATTATTATTATTACAATTTATTATTATTATCATTATCATTATTATTATTATTATAATAATTGTATCCTCCGGCAGTATATTATATTCAGCAGCGTTACGCCGCGCGTGGCCGCGTCATATTCTTGTGGGCGCTCTATACGCCACGTTTATTAAGGGATCAATTTTGTTCAAATTTTGAACGAAGGTGTATCTTGGAATAATCTACACATCTTTACTTTTTGGTGATGCTGCCCTCATGGTTCCATCCTTTATAGGGTCAAAGGTCATTTGTCCTTTTTGTATGCTCTTACTGCCATGTGTAAGAAATCCTTCAATAAATGCATTTATTGAAGGATTTCTTACAAATTTTGTATGATGGAGGTATATCTTGATCAAATCTTCACATCTTAAGTGTTTGGTGATGCTGCCACCTAGTTCATTACTACATAGCTACTCAGACACACTGTCAGCTGCACTCCTAAATGATCGATAACCGCACCCGGATTACGAAAAGAAAAAGTCTAGGTCATTGTGTGTGGTTTCGAATTGTTTTACTATTATATAAACATCGCACATGAAGCACAATAGAGTTAAAAATATTCAGTTTACACAAATATGTATTCAGAGAACGCACAAATCTAGATTGAAATCAAAAAGCACTAATTATCGACTAAATTTTATTGTGTCGAAATAAAACTAAAGTAGCATATGAATTATACAAAATGGCACTGAATAAATCTGCAACTCATTATTACAATTAACTTTTAAAGGTACTGTGTCCCATTTACAGGCCCAAAAAAATGAAAAGGTTAAATTCCAGCGCGGCATTTGAAAGATAAAACTAATTTAGAACTTCCCTTAAAACGAAAGGGCTTGAAAATAACGAGCATTAATTGTCGAATCTCCTTTTAAGAGTGGTTGCACTCCATTTAGTAATAGTCTGATTTTCAGACCCTTGTACCGAATGGTTGTACGTTTTGTGCTGCGCTAAGATTCAATCAATTTAATGTTTGCCATCACAAAAAGTGGGCTATTGATGCTCATGTACCCTTTACAACTCTTTTCATGTATGTTATTACCAAAGAAGAAAAGTCGGTCAGTCAGTAACTCAAAAGTGTCTGACAGTGAAGTCTAGAAAATAAATGGGTTTTACTTGCATAATTTGAATACTTTTTAGGACACTACAAACGTTTACATTTCACAAAGAGGACACGCGTGACATATTCATACTTCCTGCAACTTTTCAGTACATAATGTGATGTTGGCGGCAGAAGGGATACACTACCTTTAAAACTTCAAATTTATCTCATCAGAAGTAAGCAGAAAAAGAGAAATGGGGTATAAGAGAGAAGGTAGATATGGACAAGCTGGAGAGAGGAATTGAGAGAAGAGAAGAAAGAATAAAATACAGAAAGAGAAGGAAAGGAAGGGGGAAGTAGAGAGGAACTTAGAATGGAAAAAGGAGAGCAAGATGAGGTTTTAAAAAGAATCATCGAAATGATAAGAAATCTGGCCCAGTTTTGGTAAAGTTACAAGCACTGTACACAGAAAGATGTTCATGGGTCTACGCGATATCTATCCAGTCCGGATAGATATAATAATTTACCAAATATATCAATTAGTAGGCGTTTTCCCGACTAAATTTGTATCATCACGTATTAGTCAAAACATGTTCTTTCTCATGATTGGTAATGACAGCTTCCATTTCATTTTTTGAGAGGGGGGCATTTCCAAAACTCGTCTATACCTTTAAAATTAGGGAGTCAATTTTGATCGAGTGAACGAAGGATTATCTTTTAAAGGAAAAAGCATAACATGGGATGGAAATACACTTGTATGGTATAGGTAGAGTTTTTAAACGCATTTAAAACACTAAAGATAAAGGATGCAGGCAATTCAAAAGCAATATAATGTTCTACGTTGCCATTATGATAGCTGAATATGTAAATCAAGGTGATATTTCCTTTATTATTTTCCTCTTCACAGGGGCTTTATTCAATAAGTTCACAGTTCAACAACATGAACAACATTAAAAGGATTTATAAAATATATATTTATAAACACATCCAACAGCAACAGTAACGTTAAGAGGATTTAAATTCGTAATCCATAAACATTCACTTTACATTGAAAAAAAAGGGGAAATATTATTTTCAGTAAAAAATCACTGTGTAAAATGTTAAAGAGTATTTAAGACAATATGATTTTCTTTTTTAAAAACTGGACATGTCGAAAGACTATTGTACTTTTCCATTGAAAGTAATTTAACATGTATATTTTACATACTGCGTATTGTGCGTATGTACTTACTATATTTATATATTTTGTATTTGGACAATTAAGTCTATACCAAGAATAAAATGCTAATTACCCCTAACCCCCCCCCCCCCCCTGTAGATCCGCCCCTCAGTTCGAACCAAGTACAGTTCAAAGTTAATTCCGAGATAAAAAAAAAGTCTATTTTTTACAGTATCGTTAATAATGAAAATACCCTTGGTAAAGCAATTTTTAAAATATAATGTTGTATTGTCAAGTGTTATATTAGCTATTGTACCATAATACTTCATTTCGAACATTTTTTACACGCAAGAATTAAAAATATCTAATTTCACTTCAGGATACACAGCATCAACATTTCTTTGCGAGAACAATTTATCTTTGATATCAAAGATAACGGACATATATTGTCATTCCTATATTTAGATATGTTTTCTGAGGTGCATCATGGTTATTTTTAGAAAGCCATGATAACCTTGCCAAATGCAGGGATTGAACTTTGGAATGTAAATACCACACCCAGGCCTGCCTTTTCAGCTGTATTTATTAAGACAGACCTTTAGTTGAACTTGAACCAACAAAAATTATATATCAAAATAGGCATATTTAAATCCACAATCAGTTTCGGAGGAATTAAAATCGAAGCAAAATACACAAATCGTCAAATATTGCCAATTTGATTATGACAACTTTACCGTCAATAGTTGAATTTTCATTTTCCAAAATTTAAGGATTGGTATCATTTTTTTCAAGTTTCATAGCCCAGTTCGATCGGTCCGACTTTTTATTTGGTGAGGTATATGCCCAGATACTTGACTGGATCATCAATCCATTTTTTAATCTTTTATGAATTTTAATTAAGTTGACATTGTTATTGCTTTTGTTGTCATAATATTTAAAATCGGCCCAGCATCGGCCGAGCATAGTGTCCAAATCGTCTGACTTGTTAAAGTGAAATGTTTTGCGTTTGCAATGCAATCAATAAAAAGGACAGCATCGTGAGATAATTGTGATATCTTTAAAAACCAGTCAAAGTATCGGTATTTAGATAAATGACAGTAATACCATAAATAATTATTTTGCCTGATTTTCAAAAGAGCAGAAAGCGGATAGCTTTGTCTAATTCTCCGCCTAATTTGTCTTTTTTTTTGTAGACATCCAACCATTATTTATGAGAAATAAACAATTCCCACCGCATACGTATAAATTTCCATGATCCAGCCAATTCATGATTCTGAAAATAATTTACATAGTAATTGAAACAAACAAAAATCACAATTAACCAAATCAAAAGCTTTTTTTAAATCAAGAAAAAACAAAAATACCAGGAAAATTACCAAATTCACAATACTCAACAACATTTTGGACTAAACGAAAATTTTGCATAGCGGAATGTTGTTTTAAATAACCAGACTGATCAAAAGAGACAGATATAATTCAGTCTTTTACATAACACATTCACTAGAATTTGTTATCGGTGTTCTGTATTTATCCCCTTTCTTATATAACCACATAGAAACAGCTAATCTTTAGGTTTCTTTTATTTTTATTTTTTTAAAACCTTCAATGAACATTCTATTACCAATGTTTAAATTTCTTCCCAAAAAACATTTTTTTTAATTTAACAGATAGACCATCTATAACGGATGAATTGTTATTTTTCACAAAAATATCTTGCCGACATTCTTGTTCAGTAATCAGTCCTTCACAAAACAACGCTTCATCTTCTGTCAAAGAAAGAAGCTTAATTGTGGCCAAATACTTATCTATTTCAGACATCTGTTTTTTTAGAGCAGCGTATTTCAACCCTTTTTTTTTAGTTAAGGCACCCTTTTTAAGAAATAAAAAGTTTCAAGTCAATTCAAACACAAATTAATTTACAGAAGATTCTTTTTTGCATCTCTGTAATACTCGTCACGCACCACGTATGCATGAGTAGATTTGTTTCTTAATTTAGCAAGTGAGTGAAGCGAGTGAGCAAAAAAAATTATGACACTTTTCATATGATACAATTATTACTTTAAATCAAAACACTATAGATAAAATATAAAACTTAAGTTTGTGGGCACCTCGCTGCTGAATACATGAATACAAACACAATTATGTGCGGTCACTACGATGCACGAATGTGAGCATTCTCTTTGCTCAAAGTGTTCCTGTTTCTAAATGTTGGAAGCAAACGAAGGGAACCAACAAGGTAAAAATGTTATTCGATATAATTAAAGAATATAATACATATTCGGGCACGTATTGAATAGAAGGCTATTCCGGCTCCTGGTTCCTCAAATAAGGAAGTGTTCGTGCACTTCTTTGCCATAAATCTTCATGCTTTTAAAGGTTGCGAGCGATGAAGAAAACAACTTTATTAGCTTTCAAATGCCATGAAATTACGTCCTTAGCGGTTTATTATATTTGTTTTGCACATAATACCAAAGTACATTAGTTATCAGCCAATAGTCAAGACATTAAAATATATTTGGTGACAATTGACGCCAAGGGTATTGCTGCCTAAATGAAAACATGATACCCCCCCCCCCCCCAACCTTCAGATAGATAAAAACGCTTGATCAATTTCCCGAACCACTCGAACTATGTTTAAGCATACGGCATAGTCGGACATACCATATACCTTAAATATACTTTCATAGTATATTTAAGGTTATAAATAGGTTGAGTGGTTCAGGAAATTGCTCAAGTGTTTTAATCTATCAGCCAACATCAAATTCTGTAGAACTTTACAGGAATTATGAATATGTAATGTATGTCCTATCCGGGTTAAAACGTGCTCTGGAATTTCGATTGTACGATCCTTGATTGTGCGACAGTTGCTCCTCGTTAATTTCCTACACTAACTTTATAACCCTAGACCAAACACTATAACTTACCCTAACCCTAAAGTGAAATGAATCAACAACAGTACATTACGACAACTAGATACGTACTCCAGATATACATTTGTTCAATCCTTAAACTTTACGTTGTGAAAACTTCTATCTGATCAGAGTTTTAACTTTTAACGATCAGAATAGACCAGTTCACGGTTAGCACATTACTGCAATGACCCCAAATATCCACAGATCTTCAAAACATGAAGAGGTCCCACTTTGTACATTCTGAAATAATCACTCCTACAGCGATGGAGGTGCTATATAAAAGCCATTGTTTCCTCTTTTCAAAGAATACTTCTACCTGTGTATCATGGAGTGCACTGAATGTGCATGAATAAATAATGATTACATAACTTTCATGAGCACGTATCCAGTATTTCGTCTCCGTGTGTTTCAAAATTTGTTCTGCAATGACCTTTATCTGCTCATGCTCAGACTGCAACCGTGAACTGGCTTATTGTAATTTGAAGAAGAAATATAAAAAAAAAACCTAGCAATCATCTACATTCGTTGACAAGATTAATTGCTCCGGTTCGGTTTAACTCGAGGAAGATTCGATATTCGTTTGGCATGTGGTGTTGATTCGAAGTGTAATTCATCGTGCCCTCTTCGTAGTAGTGATGCCGTAGAGTTCGGTTTCTCGAATCTTGAGAGAAAGGGTAGAACCCGAACATGGTTATCTGCTGGCAGAATTGCGTAGCAGCCGTCAAGATTGCCATACCGGATGAGGGGAATCCGACATTCCATGCCCTGGATGGATGGAAAGGACGGAGAAGAGATTCATTTCAGGGGGTGTTTCACAAAGATCCGAAAGTGAACTTATCTCTCAGTTGGAGTTAACAATTATGAAAAGCCGTTAGCATTCTATGAAATTATTTTGTGAAAGTTATTTAAAAGGCATAAAATGTTTATTCATACCATTCATATTTTTTGTTATCAAGGAGATGTCATGTTCTTGATATGGAATTTATAAAAAGTCTAAAACTGTTACAGTTGAATTTCGCTTTTGAATATATTTATTTCAAGGCTACAAATGGCCTTCCATATTTTTTAAGTCCAACTTAGAGTTAAGTTTGTGAAACACCCCAGTAGAATTTATCAGTTGGTGATCACACGAAATTAGTGCATCTAAAGAAAGCGTGTGAGGGGATGTCTACACGCACCATTTGGGTATAAAGTGCTTATCACTCTATAAGATCAAATTGAATACATACATTTTTACATGTCAAAAATGTAAAAGTTTTCCCGCTGTACCCATTGGTCGTACAATAAATGTTGTTTGTTCGCCTACTCCTTTAATTAAGTTAAAGATAACAGGGTTGGACCGAGCAATAGTCAGCATAATCATTTCTACTGTTTATACATCCTTGATTATTAAATGAGCTTGTAACATAGGCGTGTAAAATGAGTTGAGGGTGGATTTTTTGTCTTCAAAGACCAAACCTCTCACTGAGTTTCTACCTTGGGTTATGTCTCGTTTCCACTGTTTCTACATTCTTGATTACTAATTGAGCTGGTACACAATAGTTAGTATTATTTTATATAACGCTATATAAACTTTGCCAATAAAAATTCTCACATTGAGTTAAATCTATTATGTTTCATTGTGTGCACATAACTACGCGGTGACAGAGTTTATATGTTTATCGTTTGAACAACGTGTACACCTTACTTGTGAGAAGGCGACATAAGGCTGGTAGTGCTATAAGCAAAATTGATGTCTATGTTGTATTTTGGTTTGAGTATTCCTAGCATCCTCTTTGTAGCGTCGAAAATTCGGCCTATAGATTTGAAATACCACAAAGTGGTTCCATTGAATCGCTTCATTCTCCGCAAGAGGGAATCACAATTGGTAGGGGCTCGGAGGGGCGGATATTTCCTTTCGCGCTTCTGCAGACAGTCTTCGTCTTCACTTTTGCACTTCCATTCAGGAGGATAGCTGGAGTTCGTGCAAGATATAAGCCTCCCAATTTGCTCGGCGTTGAGGGTAACTAAATTGACCTTCGACCCAACGTCACGCTTGAATTCACCTCCGGAAGGAGCGAGGTTCATTCGGATGACGAATTCGAACTTGTCAATGACGTCACCACATCCACTTTCCAATAGAATGCCTGCGTTACCGATCAGCGCGCATTGATTATGTCCTGAGATGGTCTCTGATTGGTGGAGAGCTGTCAGCCTCGCTTGGTTGCTTGAATAGATAATCTTTTCCCTCGGCACGTCTGGATGAATGATTTGTACGGCTTGCCATGGGCTTATATAAGCAGAAACCCTCCGCCTGTCAAGGGGAAGAAATAAAGGGAGCTTGACATACAAAGGTATTGAATAAATTTTATACAAAAAAAATCAATCCAGGCCAATAAAACTGATTTCGGTAAAAATTTGATATGATTATCAAAGAAACTTACAGTGTTTAGATCCTGATTTATCTTAATTATCATACCGAATCATTCAGCTGAATTCTGTAGTTCCTTGTTTTACAATCTTAATTTCGACTATGCATGCCTTGGAAATGATTGCGCAATGCTTTGATCATGATCATGTTGATCATACGAATAAACTCATATGTAAATCAATTTATGTACACCAATGACATGTAATGTGGGCACCAAGCCACCAATCCAAGGAATGTCTATACTTTTCAAAGCAAATACAATATTGTATACTTCATTCTTGGAAAAAAAGGGGCTTGTGGACAAATGTCCATATTTTTTCATTCTTCTTTGTGGAAAATAATGTCTGTTAGAATATTTCTTAAATTCCTCGTCTCGAGATTTTTCATAAGATAAATAGTACACATGCCAATTAAAGATATTTAGGCCTATTTTTGTTCTTCATATATCTTATTTAATTTTAAGGAGGTATACATGAATTAAGAAAGAAGTGTCTGTCTTAACCTTATTTTATCAGAGGTGAAAAGAGGTACTTCTAAGAACGGAAAAGTGCTCTTAGTACAAAGTAAAAGGAGCATTTTTCGAAGTAAAAGGGGTACCTTTCTTATTTTGATTGGTGTGTGTATCAGAGGTGAAAAGTGGCACTCATCTGAGATAACAAGAGGCACTGCTCAGAAAGGCAAAATGTACTAATTACAAAGGAAAAGGGGCACCTGTTAGAACTGCATAGGGGCAATTGTCAGAGGTGAAAAAAGATTATGAGAGAGGGGAGGGGGCACTAATAAATTACATGATGGTAATGGGCACTTATCAGAAGAAATGTGGGCAATCGTTAAAAAGGGAAAGAGGCACATTTAAAAGTATTAACGACACTTAATTATCTGAGATAAAAATGGACATTTAAAAGGTGGCAAAAGGGGCATTTACTACAAAGGAAAAATGGCACTTGTCAAAGTAAAATGGAGGTCCATCAGATTAGAATAGGGTTAAAAGGTGCAAAAATCATGAGAAAGGGGAAGGGGACTTATCAGACAGAAAAGGCACCATCCTACGTAAAAGGGGGCACCTTTTGGGGGTAAATGAAAAGGTGGGGGCACTGTATCCCTCCTGCCCCACCCCTGCTCCCAGGGAGTGACGCTTCTGTGTCAAAGCGTCATGAAAATTCGACATTCGTTCGATAAAAGGTCTTGTCTTTGCGACGAATATTATTTTAAAATAGATTGCACAAAGACGAACTCGATACATACATTCTGCAGATGGTCATGTGAGACAAAATTGAATGAATTCTGACAAAATTGAATGGAAAGGTGTTGACATTCTTTGACCATTGACCAACGTGAATGACAAATCGCTAAATTTACTTTGACCTTTGCACGTTGACATATTCTCAGGACGAAATTTTCACATTGATGAATTTGAATGAATAATAGGGACTTTTCGTTTTACACGACGAGAGCGTGGACTGCCGCGGGTGCCATTGTGTTAAGGCACTGGGCCGTGCCCGGCAGTGCCTTAAAAGGACACGTGGCGGTCCACGTTCTCGTCGTGTAAAACGAAAAATCCCTAATGTATTAAAATGGACGGGAAATCCTATACACATCATTTCCCATACAAACATACGAAACTGGCTGTCCATTTGAGAATTCGACGGAATGAATTTTAATGAAGAAAGTGCAAACTCCTTTGCCCGTAACTCTCAATTAAATGGACATGATAATGGATCAAAGAAGCTTCGAAATTGACCGGAAGACCCTACATATAAAACTTTATTTGACAGGTGTACAGACAGTCGGTTTTTCTTTTATGAAACTTTATGTCAAATTTCAAGACGATAAATCGTATGAAATGCAGGACACGGGGGCATATGTAGTTGATCATTCTATTTGGAGTATTGATTTTTTCCCCCATAAACCATTTTAGTCCTAGCATGAAACTGATATATATTGTACAAATATAAAGTCTCTTAATTGGTGGCTTAGTATGTACTACTGATCATTCATACAATCAACACGAGTCTCTTAATTGGTGGCTTAGTATGTACTACTGATCATTCATACAATCAACACGAGTCTCTTAATTGGTGGCTTAGTATGTACTACTGATCATTCTTACTATCAACTTGATCAAACCTGTTACAATCATAGCATAGTCAAAATGAAAGATTTGAAACAAAGAGATTTACATAATTTGATTAAATGATTCTGATGGTGATATAAATATGAATATTAAAAGGCCTACACTGTTAGTTTTTTAAATACACGTACAGAAACAAGTTTCAGGAAAAAATGAAAAGACACACACAAAAAAACGAACCTCCCCAATGATGAATTTGAATGACATTTTTTGACAAAATCGATTTCAATATGACGACATTTATTAACAATAGTCAGTTGGCAGCCGTGGATGACGAAGCTGTTTTGAGTTTTACGAAACTAATTGCAAAATGATAAAATCGATTGAATAAAGTTTGAAAATGGCAAGGACGAAATTGACTATGCCATGTAAAATATTAGGAAGGTTAAGCATGAAATCGTATGTTAGAAAGGTGTTAAAATGGACGGAAAAACTTACTGGATTTCCTGAACAGCACTCTCGTTGAATTTGTCGCCGTAACCAAAGATTTTCGTCAAGGGTTTTGGAAGATATACTTATGTAAAAGGAGATATAACAAAAAACGAGAAAATTTGTTGATTGATTGATTGATTTTTATTTGCCAAGCTTCCAACATACAACAATATACAAGAATAATAGATCAAAATTAAGTCAGCTTGAACAGGATAACCCACGAAAGCTCGAGAGATTATTTCTAATGGGGTTCTCTACAGACATGTACAACATTAATACGTTAATAGTAATATTTACAGACAGATAAGAAAAAAATTATTAAAGATAATAATAATTACAACGTTAGCTGATGATACAAATGATGATAAGTACAAGAGAAAAAGAAAAAGGATAAAAAGAAAAATAGGAGGAGGAAAATAATGATGAATTTCTAGAATTTCTATAACGTACATAAACATAAGTATATACAAAATGAAAAAGTATGAACCGGCAGAAAAATACAAATTTCAATCGTATAACATTCACTTCTCTTCTCTGACTGTCAAGCATTAGGTATTCCTTTAATTTACTCTTAATATGAGCATAGTTTTCCTTTTCCTTAATACCATTGGGAAGGGAATTCCAATGTTTTATGTCATTGTAATAACGAATTTACAATACTACCTACTTTTTCTGGTAAGTTAAAGTTGAATCGGCTATTTTTTGTAGTATAATCATGTAAGTCAGTAACAAGATGGAAGTTGGATCGAATACAATGATTCGACCTGTATGATATATTGTATGCACGTGATGCAATACGAGTTGTTTTGATCTTTGGTTGACTTCAAGAAAACCAGCTTTAGAAAGTTCGCTGTAGCCAACATAGTGCAGCGGCTTAGCAAGAAAATTGTGCACTTTTTGATAAAAGCATGAAACTTCTAGCATAGTTTGCTTTCACCATAAGATTTATTTTCAGGTGTGGAGGGAAGTCAGATTTGACCTCTGATGACCCTGAGAGGTCAAATCCAAAATGGCCGCCAGGCCGCATGGTCTAATGTACAAACATGCTTAACTTTTGAACCAAATAGTCCAGAGAAACGTTTAAGGTGTCATTTCCAACTAAGTTGGGGATGCCAATTCATTTGGTAATACTTTTGAGATCGCCTGAACTCAGGGTTTTGCATTTAGGTCAAGGTCAAGGTCAAAATTGACTAAAAATAGCAAGTTTTGAATGGTTACAAATGGTTAAATCTCGTTTATTTGTCATTTGTTCTCAAATTTCTTTAGGAATGGTTCCCCTGAATAGTCCTCCACCTTAATCCTTTTCAGGTAGTCTATTTCAGTTTGATTTGACCTCTGATGACCCTGAGAGGTCAAATCCAAAATGGCCGCCAGTCCGCAAGGGCTAATGTATAAACGCAGTAACTTTTGAACCAAATAATCCAGAAAGACATTTAAGGTGTCATTTCCAACTAAATTGGGGATGCCAGTTCATCTGGTAGTACATTTGAGATCGCCAGAACTCAGGGTGTGGCATTTATGTCAAGGTCGAGGTCAAAATTGACTAAAAATAGCAAGTTTTGAATGGTTACAGAAGGTTAAATCCCCATTATTTGTCATTTGTTCTCCCTAGCTATGTTCTCAAATTTATTAAGGAATGGTTCCCCTGCAGAGTTCTCCACCTTAATCCTTTTCAACAGTTTGATGTGACCTCTGATGACCCTAAGAGGTCAAATCCAAAATAGCCGCCAGTCCGCATGGTCTAATGTACAAACGTGGTAACTTTTGAACCAAAAAGTGTAGAAAAACGTTTGAGGTGTCATTTCCAACTAACTTGGGGATGCCAATTCATTACGTAATACATTGAGATCGCCAGAACTCAGGGATTTGCAATAAGGTCAAGTTAAAGGTCATATTAGGCTAAAAAAAGTGCTGTTTTCTTTTGACACTTCAGGTTTCATTATTTTAAAAATTAATAAAAAGACCTGTGTACCACCACTTTGACTATCCAGGGCCAAATTTCATAGAGCGGCTTATCAGCTGGTTCTGTGCTTACGTATTAGTTTCTACTTCAAAGCACTGCTAACCGTAAGCACACGAAAATGCATTAACCTTACGCTGCTTACTGGACGAAAATGAATTTTGTAACAATGCAACTCATTGTGAACGTACAAGGTACAAATTTGTCTGCTACAGTTATAGCACGAAAATTTGCTTACCGGTTAGCAGCTTTATGAAATTGGGCCCAGAAGACAAAAAAAGCTATTCCAAATACGACCTAAAACCTGTTCATAACCACAGCTATAGATATCTACATGAATTTAGCACTGTCCACAACTTATGCATATCCTAATGATGGTAACGATCAAAATCTAACAGTCTCCAGAACAAGATCACAGTTCAGTGCATCCTTTCTTGCAGCGACAGTGGATTATTCATGCCACAATTTTTATGCTTCCGGGAGAGTGGTCCAAAGAGGCTGCCACCCAGTTGTTTCGTTTGTCCAGCCCAAGTCAGATGGCTCTGCATCTCTGGATTCTTGGCCAATATCTGGTTTCAACAGTTGGCCTGGTAGCAAGTGCGCTTGAGGTGCTGCTTGAGTGCTGCCTGGGATGGAGGAAAGTTCTCCAGGTTTCTAGACTTCTGTGCGAAGAGCTGTTTCCTGGCATCATTCACTATCATGCTCTCACTGGTTCGGTCATATTAGCACCACAAATCGCTCTGGCAGTAACATTGATCCTTCACTGACCTCCCTAGGCATGCACAGGAGTTCATTGAAGGAATCATTCACCTCTGGGAAAGACTTCTAAGTTTTTCCTGTGAATGTAGAAACAGTGTGACACCCGGTGAACGCATGAAAGATTGGAAGAGTCATACATTGTGTCAGACTCATGGTGGCAACTATCATGATTTTATGAAAAGCCTTGTACCGTAAGCTTGATCTGAAACCAAAAGCGATCCCCAGCATCAGGAGCTGTCTTGCCGAATGAAGCCACGGCCAGTTCAACCGCATCAGTACCAACACTACGTATGGGTACCCTTTTACACCCATGGGACAAGGCCTGCCAAGTGTGACTCAGCAGGAGAGCAGAGTACTCCACTTCCATCTGTTGCATATTATACAGTTCCTTGCCCTGTGGTAGAGGAAGGTAAACGGCTTCGCATGACATGAAATCAAACAATTCGGTTTTGTTCTCATTGAATCGAAGGAAGTCCTTCCAGCGTTCTGGCAGCAAAATAGAAGGAGCCACCCTTTTCCTGGTGCCCTTTCCCTTTTCCTGCCCTATTGAGGCTTTCAGGCTAGCAGGTAAGTATACACCATAGCCAACGTCGATGCGGATGCTTTTCTCGAGTTGAGCAAAGATGTATGGGGCAAACACTTTCCCTCCATACTCTTGAAATGTTCTTGATGTTCCAGGGTTGAGCATTTGAACCACAGCTTCACCATCAATAATTATTGCTTGGGCCACAGGTGCACTATTGTTTTCGAGCAGATTTGATTCCAGGCAGCGAAGTAGATCTGCTTTAACTCCAAACCGCATTTACCTCCAGTTAACAAAGCTGGCGGGACTGCCTGGTTCTCATGAGAGAAGAAATTGTCCATATCTCCATCCCTTGACTGACACGAGATGTAAATCCTCAAAAAGAGACCACAGTCACTCTTAAGTGCTGCAAGCTGTGCCTTCTGTTTTAACATATATATATATAACCTTCGCCGGCTGCCAACTGAAAAATGGCAACTTGTTCGTATGAAGTGTTTGTGTGACAGCTAGGTGTCGTACACTGCTCTAGCCTTTCTGTCACAAACTTTGTGTACTGCTCACCTAGGGTCTCAATCCTTCTCCCCGTTTCAGCCAATTGGATGTCCATGATATGTCGCTTTTGCCAATGACTAGTATGTCTTGACTTTGTTCTAGAGATGGATTTCCCATCTCTTTCAGTACTGTCAGAAGTTCCCATCCCTCAAGAATGCTGCCTGCACTCCAGGTTGCTAGTCAAGGTGATGATTGTATAGTGTTAGCGGAAACGTTAGTTTGCTTTATGGCATGTTCCTCAAACTCTGTAGTGATTATTTAAATTACTTAAACCAAATAAAACACAAAGTAACTTAAAGAACATCTTACCAGTATTATTGAGCAGTAACGGAAAGGAGCAGTTTCCCTGACTTGAATTGAGGTTTGTACCGTATACTGTCTAGCTGCCCACTGACCATGCTATATGCATATGGTCATTTACAAGACAACTACTGGTTTGGTGCTATAATTAGTGAAATAAACTAACTGACAGGGATTACGATGGAGACTATGCAGGGGAACCACTCCTAAAGAAATGTGAGAACATAGGGGGACAAATAAATGGGAAAACTTTTTGTAAACATTCAAAACTTGCTATTTTTTCAGTCAATTTTGACCTTGACCTTGACTTCATGCAAAGCCCAGAGTTCTGGCGTACCCAAAAGTATTACCAAATGAATTGGTATCCCCAACTTAGTTGGAAATGACACCTTAAACGTTTTTCTGGACTATTTAGTTCAAGAGTTAAGCGTGTTTGGACAATTATTAGACTATGCGGCGGACTGGCAGCCATTTTTTATTTGACCTCTCAGGGTCATCAGAGGTCAAATCTGATTTCGCTCTACATTCTGAAAATGAATCTCATGGTCTGCAGGGGAACCACTCTTAAAGAAATTTGAGAACATAGGAGCGAACAAATGACAAATAAATGGGATTTGTTTCGTTGTAAACATTGAAAACTTGCTATTTTTAGTCAATTTTGACCTTAACCTTGACCTAAATGCCAAACCCCGAAATCTGGCGATCTCAAAAGTATTACCAAATGCATTGGCATCCTCAATTTAGTTGGAAACGACACCTTAAATGTTTTTCTGGACTATTTGGTTCAAAAGTTAAGCGTGTTTGTACATTAGACCATGCGGACTGGCGGCCATTTTGAATTTGACCTCTCAGGGTCATCAGAGGTCAAATCTGACTTCCCTCCACATCTAAAAATGAATCTTATGGTCTAAACTAACTATGCTAGAAGTTTCATGCTTTTATCAAAAAGTGCACAATTCTCGTTATATGGGGAGCTAATCCGCTGTAC